CTAGCCTCTTCACAGAAGGGTGTTTTAGGTATGCCAGGTTGGCCATCTGCATAGTCATGGCCTCTTCCCTGAGTTGTCCTCCTGAGTTGAACTGCCCATTCTCCCCATGTTCAAGATTCTATGTTCCTCCCACCTCTCATTTTGGGCACTACCTCCTGCCTCTTTCCTCATCTGTCCTCCCAGTGTGGACATTCCCCTTCTTTTCTACGTGCCACTTTTCCCTCTGCAAGCACACTCAATGCCTGCCCACTCACCTAATTCTTCTGAGCTCAGGGGATCTGCTTCCCTGCCCTACACCTCCATGCAGAAGCTGCGTTACTATCTCAGATTTGTGACTAAGATGGGGATCATCTTCTCCTTAAGCCAGGTTTGTCCTCTGGAACCTAGGTCCTATGGTTCCAGAACCTCATGGCCCTACGGTTCCTTCCTGTAAAGCACCTTGGATTCTGTTTTTCCCCCTCTATCCAACTTTGTCCCCTTCAGCAGCTCTAGGCAACCCCCTAGTCCCACCTGGATTCTGGCCCCCCTTTCCTTTTCACATGGTGAGATCAGAAGCAGGACAGCCCCTCCTACCTACATGGATGTAGCAGCCTCCTGAATGCTCTTCCTGCTGTCAGCTTTCTTCTGATTCTTCCCTCTGTCAGATTGATCTCTGTAAAACATTGCGTCTAAATCTTGTCAGATTTTACTCCTACAGGATTAAAGCCTCAATTCTTAGCTCCACATTGAGGGCCCTTCACTGGCTGCTCTCAGCCACCCTTTCCAGTCCCCTGTCACACAACTGTCTTTTCCTTCTGCTGTAACTACTCAGCCTCTGAACACACTATTTGCTGTATGCTCCTTCCAGCCGTTCCACTGCTTTCCTGTAGAACCACCTCCATCTCTCTAAATCTTACCTATCTTCTGAGATGCTGTGCAGCTCACTCCTTCATGACACTTCTTTGGTCTTTCCCATGCTCAAGTGTTCACTCCCTCCACAGAATGACCAGGGTATTTTATCTTTGCTTCTCAGTGCCTTGAGTGGTCCATAGACCAGCAGCATTGCCAACAGCTTGTGAGAAGTACAGGACTTCAGAATCCATCTGACCCTTGGGAGCAAGATCTGAATTTCAACAATGATTTTGTGTGCACATTTCAGTTCAAGAAGCACTGGAAGTGTGTTCATTGTGTGTTTGCTTCTGCTTGGGTATGGCTTTTGGCCAGAGAGTGGGTGGTCTTCTCAGGTGCCACATCTGGTCGGATTCACTAAGCTAGCGAAGGGGCTGACAGCTGAGATGCCCGAGAAGCATATGTGTCCTGCCTGAACCCTTCCCACCTGGAATCTATACCCTGAGAGGCCCCAGAGTTCAAGGTCTATAAATCTGACTCCAGAAAGCACTCTAGTAACATGAGGAGAAATCAATTAATCAATAAAAAGCAGTTATCAAGCATGTAGTGGAGAACTTTTTCCTGTTCACAAGCACACACTGGTAGCAAGGTCTGTTACTTTAGTGTATATTTTGAAATGAAAACTATTGCTGTTTTTTCATTATAATATTAATATACTTTCTAAAGTAGTAACTTTAGAAAACACAATATGTCATGAAGAAAATAAAAATGACTCATAATTTTCTCCAGCTACAAACACTGATTATTTAATGTTTGTGACTGCCACTTACTCATTCAACAAATATTTACGGAGCCCTGCAGTAGGCCAGATTTGTGCCAGACCAGGGATTTGAGGTGAAGACACCATGGTTCCTATTTTTTGAGCAGCTCACAGCAGGGCATGAGGTGGGGGAGACAGATACTGAGCAAGTTAGAACAACAGTGTCTGTATCTCCCAGAGCTGCTGTAACAAAGCCCCATGAACTGGGCAGCATAAAATGACAGATTTATTCCCTCACAGTTTTCCAGGCCAGAAATGTGAAATCCATGTGTCTGCAGGGTTGTCTCGTGCTGGAGACTGTGAGGGCGAATATTCCACGCTGCTACCCTACCTTCTGGTGACAGCTGGCTTTCCTTGGCATCTCTTGGCTTGGTGCTGCATGGCTCCAGTCTCTACCTCTGTCATCACATGACACTCTCCTGCTTCATGACCATCTACCTAAAGGACACTTTTTGAATTAGAACGAACCCTACTCCAGTGTAATCTCAATCAGTTACATCTGCAATGAACCTGTTTTGAACGAAGGCCACATTTTAAGTGTGAGGGAGTAGGACCTCAGCATTTTGTTGGGAACATCTTTCAACGTCTAGAACAAAAGAACACTATGTAGTTCTGGAGGAGCATGACAGGTGACCAGCCTTGCCTGGGAAGAAATGACCTTCAAACCAGGACTGAGTGAAGATGAGGGAAGAGCAGAGAGACAGACAAGTACTGTCCACAGAGCTTGGGGTGGGCGGCTGGATGTGAGCACTCCAGGCAGACTGAAGACAGTGTGGCACTTTCTAGGAATGCAAAGAAGACCTTGTGGCCATAATACAGAGTAGGGACAAAAGGTAGGACCTGGGAGCAAGTCACAGACTGGTTCATATGGGGCTGGGGCCTTGGTAAGAGCTTCTCATTTGTCCTGAGGAAAACAGGGAGTTCTGACAGTGTCAAGCACAAGTAGTTCATCTTGCTTTGCAGGCTGTCTCCTCTCAAGAAGGCTGTGTTGTTCTTCTCAGTCCCTGTCTTGGGTGCCCCCGGCTATGTGAAGGCACAGGACAGCTCTGTGCAGAGAAAGAGGTGCAACCTGCCAGAGGTGGTCCCAAACCTTCCTCCAAACCAGAGATGGGGTTCATCCAGTCTGGAGTCTGCCTCCCCTTTGAATGTGCTGAGTGCTCAGGCCTGGAGACACAGGACTGACCACCTCACACCAGCACTGCATGGGAGCTTTGATGGGATGGATCCAGTCCCGTGTGGCTCCCTGAGGCCAGAGGCCTAGATGCTAGGTCTTGTATGGGCCATGTTTTGAGCACCCTACTTCCCTCAGGGGATGACTGATCTACATGGGCCTTCCTACATAGGACTCAGCCTAGCTGGTGCTCATTCGTCCCTCACCACACCCTCAGAGATCTTCCGTTTCCTGTGCATGCAGGCAGAGGGCCTACCCTGCCCAAAGCTGCCTGTCTCCACCTTTCCGGGGCTGGGTGGGCCTGCCTAGGTGGAGGAGAAGTGGGTCAGCTGGTAGCCATGGTGACGGCAGCTGCTCCCCGCCAGCCTTCCCATCTCCTCACCACAAACCTCACCGATGCGCTCCTTTGTCTGGTCTGGCAGGGATGGGGGCCAGGAGGGTGGATCTGGGGCTGGATCATGCACAAGTGTGTTTGTGTTCAAGCTTACACAAGCGCCTGCTCAGAGCTCATGTTTGTGCCTCCGCCTGGAGAGCTCACGGCTTGGGGTAAGATGCTTTCTACTTCCCTGGCCACTGTAGTGATGGGGCTCTTCTTGTCCCTCTGGCTGGGCAGGGGTCAAGAGCAGGGCATGGGGGTACATGAGTATGTGCAGGTATGTACACAAATATGAATCTGAATGCCTGTGGCTTTCTTGACTGCCTGTGTGGCTGCTTCTGTGTACCTTTGTGTGGATGAGTATCTTGGGGGCGTGTGTGCATATCTGTAAACACGTGTGATTTGTCTTTCTGGGTATATCGTGTGTGTGGGTCTATATTACGTATAATCACATATTTGAAATTGAGTGCTGTTATGTGCATGAGGGTTAGAGCAGCTGCTCTGGGGAGACAAAGGTCTGCACAGCAAGGAGCGAAGTTAGTATGTACGCCCCACTCTGGGTATATTTTTTCTTGTCCTGCCTGCTTCCCCTACCACATCCCAGCCCCTACCACCCACCCACCTTTCCCCAAGTGGGTCCCCCTTGGCCTTCTGTGAATGAATACAGGCCCTGGTCTGTGGGTCCAGATAGGCACAGGCTGGTGTAGTGGGCAATCCCAGTGCCGGATGGGGTTGGGCAGGATCTCAAATGCCAGACCCAGCATGCTGCAAAAGCTTAGGAGCCGAGACTGATACAGCTTCCTGGGCCCCTTCCACATCCACTAAGAGATATAAGAACTCTGATCCACATCAAACTGGAGTACTCAGGGCTGCAGTGGGAGGTAATCCTATAAGCTCTGGGCTGCCTCTTTAGGTGGTTGCACTTGGTGAATTGAAATTAGCACCTGGAAAATTGTTCACCATGTATAGGGCACCATTATGAGTAATAACTGGGTAATGACCAATTGGTCATTAAACATGTGCCAATCTCCATTTTATAATATTTACCTAAAATGTCTCCCAAAGCAATGCTGTCATCTCTCTTGTGATGAGGAATGTAGGTTTACAGGGGTTGATACAGAAGCTCTCCATCACTGGCTTGTAAGAGGCAAATCTCGACTGTGCTCCTAAGTCTGTCTGCCTCCAGAGCACGTGTTTTTATTACTCTGCTCTCCTGTTTCTCATTGGTTCATCTGATCTCCAGTCCAGCCAGGAGAGTTGGGCAGAATCCAAGTGGTGATCAGACTCAGAGAGAAGCAATGGAGGGTCAGAGTAGCTGAATGACTGTCTCAGGAGTTCCTCCCCGTCCTGATTCCTGGCATGTTACAGCATCTGGGGGGAGACCTAGACCCCAGAAGTCAGGGGAGGTTAGAAGGAGACAGAACAGAGTCTAGAGCTTCTTAGTAGTCCTCTGTCTCTGTGTCTGTCTGTTTCTCTGTCTCTCTGTCTGTCTGTCTCTGTTTCTGTGCTGGAGATCAAACCAGAGACTTCATGCATATTAGGCCCTATCACTGAGCTACATTCCCAGCCCTAAAAATTGTAAAGTTACAGGACTTCAGCAGTTTGACATTAAAGCACCTAAAGCCAGAGTAAGAGACCTGGGAGTTCAATTTGGTCAGTTAATTGGCTAGTTGGTTTAAAAAGCTAAAATGATTTGCTCAAGGTCCCACAGCTATTTCGTTTTTTTATTCCACACGGGCTACCAGAAGCCCTTGAGGACACTGTCTTCATTAGCCCTTCCTCTGAGCTCAGTTCTTCCCTTCCAGATCTTTTTACCACATCACCTCCTCCCGAGAGCCTGCCTTGATTGCCTTCACCTCCTTTCCTGGAGTCTCGTGTCTCAGCAGAAGTTAAGTGGAGCCTTGTGCAGATGCCCTAGGGGCACACTGTTGGAAGGGGCGCAGCCCCGGTGATGCAGAACTCTACACTCAGATTCATCAGTTTGGTGAGTTTAGGTTTTCTTTCAAGTGAGGGCTGGGGAGGGAGGACCTAACAGATCTTCTCAGGTGATGGGGTACCTGGGAGTTAGGGGTCTCAGGTTGAAACTCTGGTTTTGCCCCCAGCATTCTCTGTGGCCTTGCATATGTCTCTTCCCTATTCTGGCCCTGATTTCCTGCTTGGAGAGATGAAAAATGCAGGTTGGAATTGAGACTTGCAAGTCAGCTTTAGCTCATGAGTTGGTGCTCAGGAGCTGGTTTTAGAGCACTGTGTTTAGAGGAGTTCTGAAGTTAAGTTTGTCCTCGGAGGAAAGAGATGGATTAATGATGTCTGCTGTGGGTAGATGATGGGAAGGTGAGGCAGAAGCTTCAGTTTTCACAGCCCCTTCTTATCTAATAGTCCAGCAACCTGTGATAGATTTCTTGGTCTGTCCTGTTAAAAGTGAGTGACTGGCTTCACCTTAGCCTTTTGGGTTCCTCATTGACTATCAAAAAAAAAATTCATTAGACATAAGCTCAGAGGCATCCAGGGACCCAGAGGTTCTGGCAGAGCCTGGGACCTGCTGCTGTCAGGATTCTGGAGAATTTCAAAAAGCCTTTAGGACAAAAAGACCCCATTCAGGGGCCAAATGTTGAGGGCTGGAAAAAAAAAAAAACATGGATTTATCCTTCAGAAGCTTGGATGGTGTCTCCTGGAGTTCTGGCAGGAAGGGGCAGTAGTTTCTGCCCCCTGGAGGATAAACAAGGGCCAGATTGTTCTTCTGCTGGATTAATAGATGGGAGATAGCAGGGAGAACTTGAGGGTGAGCTCCCATAGCTTGGAGAGATTGTAGGAAGGTTTCCTGATCTAGGTGCCATGAACTAGGCTGGGAAAGGGACAGTCTTGTTCAGAGGCAGGAGCATTATTGAATTGATTTTTATGGAAAAGATTTGGTTCATTTACCAATCGTTTAGAACCACTGGTACATGACATGCTGCATTGTGTGTCCTGATGGGGCTCCTCAGCAGTGTGCTCCCATCTCTGCCACTCCGCCTTTCCATCCCTGTGGTCTGATAAAGGTTCAGGAATTGCTATGCAGCTATCTGTATAGGCACAGGGCAGCTATCTTTGTCTGGACCTCTGGCTTGCCTTTCCAGAGCTAGACTGGCTACCAGATAAGGAGCTAGAGCCCCAGATGGAAGCCCACACCCCAGCCCCTCTGCAGCACATAATCGTAGACTCAGCTCCCCAGTCCAAAGGACTTCTCCAAAGAATCTGCTCTGAATCCTTCAGTTAACACAGAAAAGCTGAGGCCCAGAGATATGAAGAGTGCGCTCACATTCTAATCTCATGCCATGATTCCAACCTCTCTCAGGTTTCCTTGTGTGAACTCTTGGAACAGAAGCTAGGGCCTAGGACCTTCGGTCTAGTGCTTTGGATCTGGCTCCTCCTGACCCCTGGGGGTAGCCTATAGATTGAAGGTGGGGCTGCCCCAAGTTTTCATAAATTCTCCAGGTCCCCTAGGTGAGCCCTGGGTGCCTGAAGATGATAAAGTAGCTCTGTGTAACGTAGAGTTCTGGATGTCAAACCATGTGCTTGTCAGTTCCACTCATTATTCATGAGGAAACATGAGCTTCCAGGTTGGCACGGGCAGGAATTCTGTCCCTCGCCCCTTCTCACCCCTGGGCTTGTGCTCTGAAGCATATTGGAGGCTTCTCCAGCTAAGGTTTGTGAGTCACAAGGTTCTCCATCTTAGCTGCTCAGCCAGATGGGGGGATTTAGACCAGAGCGGGTGGATTTTCTCACTGTAGGCCCTTTCCTTGCAGTTTTATCAAAGAGCCCAGGGACCCAGAGCAAAGCCAGAGTTTGAGGGGTGGGCACACATCTTTGGACCAGCTCTGAGTTGAAGGGGTATCAGCTGCTGAGCATGTATGTCTCTTTGTGGAAATGGGAGACTGTGTTCAAGCCTTGCCACTTCCTGTTTGAGTAGGACACTTCTCTGAGACTGTTTTCTCATCTGCCTTGTGATGATAGCTATACACGCTGATACCATGGCAGATTCACAGTATCAGATAAGCCCCGTCCCACCTTCCACCAAAAGACCATGCAGATACCCAAAAACCCACACAAATTGGCACTAGAATTGGAAACTAAAGAGAAAGGATCATCACAGGCCAGTGTCCAGGGGGACTTTCCATTAGCTGCATGGTTGATGGAGGGTAGAGAAATACAATCTGGGGCTCTGATCATGTCACAGGGTGAGTGAGAACTATCCAGAGAACTACAAAAAAGGTAAAGCAGGGCTCTGACTCATCTGCCTTGTCAGCGTTAAGTCTCCAGGCTGCAAGAGCCGTGTTGGCGGAGAGACCAGGTGAGGAGTCTCACAGTCTGGGGAGATCTTTCTCAGCAGCCAGAGTGGTGCCTCTCCCAACCCCATTTTCACTCCCCTTTATGTGTCCTTTTGAAAAGTGAGACTGCTTCAGGGTAAACCTGGGGGCAGAGGGTCCAACCAAGTACCCTGAACCCTGCCTTGCACACTGCCCCCAGGAAGAGAGCTCTGGGCTAAGACAGAACCAGGTGGGTGCTGGGTGCTCAGCAGCTGGAGCAGTGGCTTTCCTGTCTTCCGCCTGAGCCAGGGGCTGCAGTATTTGGCTTTACAGCTGAGTTACAGAGGCTGAAACCTGGAGACCCCATCCTCTATAACACAGGGCCTCGGATGCCTATAGTGCCTTCCTATATACAGTGGATCTCAGCGCCCTCTGTCCTTCCGTTCCCTCACACTTATCATAATCACCATTAAATATTTAAGTGTAGAATTGGTTATTTACTGTCTGTCTGCCCTCCTGAACTGAGGCCTTGCGAGGGCAGCACTCAGTTTCCTGGCTCACTCCTATACAGTGTCTGACAGTCAGCATTGGCCTTGGAATTTTAGGAAATTAAATATTTGTTGAACATAGCTAATAAGGAGAGTAAATTTCTATGCTTTGCATAGAATTTGGCAATATAGGCCAAGGATACAAAGAAAAAAATATGCCCTTAGTGGCAGGCAAGATGCTTGTGGATATAACTGAGAATTCTGGTTTCAACTAGCTTACGCTTTGGAAAATATATAAGTGGAAGAACAAAGGAAGGCCAGTCTAAGTGTGGCTGGCATCTTTTGGGTCTGTGCATTGGCTGCACCCTAAGGCTGGACCACATGTTATAGACGTGATCTTGGAGGAGGAAGGGAGAGAGAGAACAGAGAGTCTCTCCTGTAAGCATGGACTCCAGATCATGCTCTTAAGCTGAGCTGAGCTGACCTAGTCAGTCATATGCCTACCTTTAAGCAAGTGAGAGTGGCTAAGGAGAAAGCCATTCCCTGATGACCTTAAACTCACGAAGATCTGTCTCCAAAACAAGGTACAGGGTAGCATCTGGATGAAACCAGCCCTGTGCCAGGCAGCAGGAAGGGAGCTGGACAGTTGGGAAGCTCCCAGCAGCAGTACCACACTCGCCTCCCTGGCCATTTCCTGGAGCAAGTCCTAAGGGCATTGGCCTACAAACCAGTGTAGATGTTTATTTCTGTGTCTATTTAAGAGAGAGAGAGAGAGAGAGAGAGACAGAGAGAGACAGAGAGAGAGAGAGACAGAGAGAGAGAGACAGAGAGAGAGAGACAGAGACAGACAGACACGGAGTTGATTCAAGAGGTAACCATATTGAAATATTTAAGCCAGTCATGCTACCTGTATACAACAGATGATTATGGTGGCTGGAGCCAACACTTATACAAAGTGTTAATGACATTGGAAAATGCTTATGATAAAATGTTAGGTGAAGAATGTCAGGGTATAAAAGTTGCATTTGCAGTACGAGTCCAATTATTGTTTTGAATGCATAGAAAGGAGGTTAGAAGGAATGGGTTAAAATGCTGAGGGTGGCTGCCTCCCAGCGGTGCAGTGAGGGCGATTGTTGCTGCTGCTGCAGGCTTTTCTGGACCACCCCTTTCCCCCCAGCAGAACCTCCTGCAGTTTGCACAGGCTGGAGGCTGTCTTGTGCCCCTCCCCCACTTTGTTATTTGCATGAAAGTAATCGTCTGCAACACATGCTCGGTAGCCTTTCTATGCACAGATACTTCTCAGCACTTTACCTGCACTATCTCATTTAGTCCTCACAGTAATCCTAGGAGGTAAGGGCTTCCATTTCTCATTTTGCTGAACTGTTTCCTAAAACTTCTAAGATGTTTGGTCACGGCATCACCCAGCAAGTATGTGGGGTCTCTGGAATTCAAGCCCAGGCCATCTGGCTCCACAGCCTTGGTCTTCACCACCAAGCCAGATCACCTGCCAGTTGTTCATAGCCACAGGCTTATGAGAATATTCTCATTTATTGAGCCATACACTGTGCACACCCTTGAGATTTATTTATTCATTTAATCCTTAGCGTTGAAGAGGCTAAGTGACTTGCCTAAGATCACACAGCTAAAAGTGGCAGGACTGCCGGCTGATAACTGGAGTCTGATATGGAATTGTTTTGTTTCTCACTCACCTTCAGAATTTCCTGAGGCCCTGCAGCCCCAGGGACCATGTTTAACGGGGAGCCAGGTCCAGCCTCAGCTGGGGCCTCCAGGAATGTGGTTCGGAGCTCCAGCATCAGCGGTGAAATCTGCGGATCCCAGCAAACTGGGGGTGGGACCGGGACCACCACCGCCAAGAAGCGACGTAGCAGCCTGGGTGCCAAGATGGTGGCCATTGTGGGCCTGACTCAGTGGAGCAAGAGCACACTCCAGCTTCCTCAGCCTGGTGAGGGGCATGGGGCACAGGGCATCATGGGGCAGGGGTGAGGGACCCTTTTTGCAAGGAGTACCCAAGGACTGAACTGATGGATGTGCTCTCCCAGCCCACACTCCCTTGTATAGCGTATTGACAAGGCTCTGCACTGCTGTAGGTCTAGTACGTGACAGTAGGTAGCTCCAGGCAGGCACTGGAGCACAGAGAAGGGAAGTCACATGTCCCAGATTACACAGGTAGGCGAGGTGTAACATGGCACCAAGCCCTAGCAGGTGGGTTTCCTACTTCAAGCCTTGTATTTTACACACTCTGCCTACACACAGAGACTTATATAAGTCCTTGATAAACAGTAATTATTTATTAAACAGCCCAGTGTTCCTGGCACCATGCTAAGTGACACTAGTTTTACAGACACACACATCCACAAGATTAATTCTCACCCATCATCTCTTAGTCTCCTTAGTACAAATCCCCACGCAAATGCAGTTACTTAGTCACATAGATTTGTAAGTCACAAGACAGACATACAGAGATACAGTCATGTAAATAGATGCTCACCTGCCAAGGTGAGCCACTCATTGCCCGGAAAGCACAATACAGTAAATCTCATTCATACCAAACATGGTCATAAATAAAACTAAAAAACACTATCCTCTGAGTACAGACGTGCAGACCTAGGTCACAAGCATGCATGTCACACGTGACAGAGCCATGCTCACATGCACCTTACCAATTGCAGCCTCATAAATACTGTCTACTTTCCCAGACATCTAGTTGCAGAATCCCAACTATGCTCAGACTGCTGGGGGACCAACCTTGTTGCACACAACTCCACACAGACCTACATCACAGAGGAGCCAGCCCGCCATACCAAGACCCCTTTGCTTTGTGGCATTGGCCCAGACACCAGCTGGCTTTGTTTTAAAATCTCTTCCTACTTATTTTGTTTAGCGTAACAACTTCCCCATGAAACCTTCAAATAGGCATCTGGATGGGGGTGGTGAAGAGGCGGGGGCACTGGAGCATCCAGGGAGAATGCTCATCAAGGCTCCCCATTGGGACTGGGTGGGGGGACTTTTCCAGGTCTTAAAATAGATTTTTGCAAAGCCCTCAACAGGAACACATGAGATTGTCTTTTCCAGCAATCAAGCTGTGATATGCATCCTGGCTAGGAGAGGCTCCATGGAGAAGGGGCTTGCCCTGACTTATACCTTGGGGGGTGGTATAGGCCTAGGACCAGGGATTCAGGAAAGTGAGGGTTAGGGATCCAGGACTTGGAATGGGATAGGACCAAACAATTATAGACAGGGCATTAAGATTAGGAGGTTGTAGAGTTGTTGGGACCCAGGAGTCTGGCCCTCAGAGACCACGCATAAAAATCTAGCTTCAGACCTGAAGGCTTCTTGTACCCCAAATTGGGAGGGGTAGTCTTCCATGGCCAAAACGGGGCCTGAGTCACTGGAAAGCACTGCAGTGACCTACCTAGCCTTCACAGACTGCAGGGAGGGTGGGAGCAGATGTCAAGAAGACCTTTTGCATTATAAAGAGATGAATGGCGACAGGCCTTTTGGATTTCTGGTCTCCATGATTATGTCAGGATGCGGCTGAAGGCCCAGAGCCTGGGGTCAGGGGAACTACCCAGATGCTTCTAACTGCAGGTCCCTGTGAATCATCTAATTGCTGAATGTCAGAGCAGGAAGAGCCTCTTGAAGTCAACCAGTTCAGTGTACTCATTTAGCCATGAGGTATCTAAACCTTGGGGAGAAGGGACCTTACTGGAGAATGACCTCAGGTTGGCCCTCTGTCATTTATTAGCAGGGTGAGCTAGGCAAGGATCACCTGATCCTGCTCCTTGTTCATAGAATGAAGAAAATAATGTATGCCTTGCAGAGTTGTCCAAGGAATTAAAGGAGGGCACATATACAAAGGCCACCATTCCTGTGCCTGACACATGAGAGCTACTCAGTGAAGTTTTGGTGCTGTTATTACACATGGTCACATAGTACAGCTGAGAGAGAAGTGAATTCTCTGGCCTTTACACCTCTGCCTCTTCCTTATAGCACACTCCTTTCCTTTCTGTGTTTTTTTTTCCCCCAAACCTTGAGGATGTCAGCGACCCAGCCTCAGCCCCCTCCTGGGCGAGTCTGGCACCAGAGGAATGTATGGGGCTGACTCACTACAGGTGTTGGCCCTAGAATCACTGTTCTGGGAACAGGTCTTGGACGCATGCCCCTTGCTGCCTGCCCTGCTGTCCACAGATGGGATGCTTCAGTTGCCTGCTGGGCCACGCTATATGGAGTCTGGAGGAATTCCTCTCCTGGACGTAGCCTTCTGGGCTGTGGATCTGTCCTTCCAAGAAGCCCCCTTCATCTTAGATTATTTGTAGCCTGCACTGCTTAGAGCCTTGCCCATCTCTTTTTGTTTCAAAGCCTCTCTTCCGTTTCAGACACCATGTCTAGCCTGACCGTTATTACCAGCCTTCTCCTGAGTTCCCCGCCTGCCTGCCTGCCCCTTCCAGTTTATTGCTTGTTTTACCCCAGAGTAGACTTTTAGAGATTCACTCTGGTGCTTTAGAGGGCTACACCTGGCTCTGAATTTCACATGGGACTTTGGAAGGCCATTTCCTGCTGAATCTTAGTTTCCGTTTTTGTAAAATGAAGTTAAAATGCTGTCTCCTAGCTTCCTTCTAGATATGTCATTCCCTAAATTGAGGGAATAATGAGGAGGATGAGGCAGAGATCTGGTGTCCCAGAACACAGGTGAATTCTGGCCTGGCATCAGGCTGCGTCCACAAAGGGCTACCCTGGGTTGACCCAGCTCCTGTTAAATGGAGCGTGTCACTTCAGGACCAGGGACAGCAGCACTCCCTTCTAGGCTCCCAATAGGCAGCACTTCCTCCAGGCTCTGAGCCAGAGGGATCAGGACCATCCCAGAAGATGCGGCTGCAACTGCCCCTTCCTTGTATGTGATGGGACAGATGGATAATTCCTGGAGTCCCTGTAACTCTAGAACCACAAAATTATTACAAGCAATTTGGCTTGGTTCTCTAGAGAGAAGGTACATATAATTATTCCCTGATTCAAAAGGGGTTGAGACTGGACAGATACAAAGCCAGTAGAGGAATTTTTCTCTGAGGTTTCAAGGCCTTTCTTCTCCCCCTGAACACATGGAACTTAATCTCTGCTGAGTCACATCTCAACTAGATGGGCATTGAGAAAGGAAAGAGAAGTGGCATGTAAGCAGACTGGGAATCTAGAGACCAGGGTGTAGTCCTAGTTCTTTTGGTACCTGAATCCCAGATCCTCCATCTGTAAAGTGGTGGAGGGGGGCCAGTGCAGTATTTTTACCTCTTTAGGATTCTGTGACTCCCCTATTTGAAGACTCACATTGGATTGGCTAGGTTTTATCTAAGAAGGTAAACTCACTTCCAAGTGGGTCAGAGCTTCCCCAGGCTTTAAGGTGGCAGAGATATGAAGGGGAGGGAGGGCGCCTTGCAGCCCCTGCAGCCCATCTGTCTTCTAAGTCAGTTAGAGGGAATGTGGCTGTTAGGAGCTAGGGACAGGGACAGTCCTCCCACAGCCACCATTTTTATCCAGCTGTCTGTGTGTGGCAGGTCACGTACCATGTGTGGGCTTGCTTCATTGCATGTGTATCAGTTCACATTGAATTGAGTGGATGAATTCAACTCCAAGTATTTTGGTGTGAAGAACACATGTATGTGACCTGACTTTGTGACAGAGTACATCGTGTACACATATGACAAAGATCTGGCAGGACCCTCTGTAAATGTGACTTAATGTAAACGTACTCAGGACTTTTTGAGGATAATTGTATTTATATAGTGACTATTAGCACTCACATGTATCTACCTGTGGCTCTGTGTGAAAGGGATACATGTAAGCTAAAACGTGACTCTGTGTGTCACTGTGAGACAGACAGACAAAGAGACAGATACAGACAGATAGACATTGATGGTTTTATTGCTTCCTGAATATGGTAGCTATTCCAATACCTCAGAAACTGAGCTGATTTTGGAGAAGACATTTCTTATTCCTGCCACCCCCAGCCTTGGTCCCATCACCGCCCCTCTGGTATCCCATTCACTGGTGATCCCAGCCGTCTCAGCCTTACCTCCTCCAGTGAAGACTTTCCAAAAGATAAGCCGAGCAAAGCAGGAGAATTAAGCACCCCCCACCAACACCGTTGTGTGTGGGCAGGAGAAAAGATTGTCAGGGTGACCCGATACCCCTTCCCCACTGCTTCCAGGGGCTGTGCCACCTGTCCTACCCCAGGTCTCTTCCCCCACCCCTCTCCCTATTTCTGTAGGCAACTCCACTCTTAATTTGTTTGGGCCTCTAGCCAGTGATAGCAAATGGCTCCTTTGATGTAGCTCCTAACTTGAGTACCACTTCCTGCCCAGTAAGCCCCTGTGGCAGGCAGGCTTCAGCAGGGTAAGTCCCTGCAAACCCCTAGCCCGCTCCCCTACCAGGTGAGGTTGTCTGGAGGGACTATACTGCAATGCTAAGGAGGTTGCTATGGGAACTCAGGCTGGATGGCATACTGTCAGGACAGGAAAAGTGCCCCGTGTTCCCAGCCAGGCCAGGGTAGAGTCCCCTAGGATGTGGAGACACTGGATCTTCTCATTCTGCAAACCTCTGGGGGCTCTTCCACAGTCCTTTCTCTCAAAGCCAGAGTCAGTTCAGGGCAAGCTTGCAGCTCCTCTCACAGTTTTGTCTCTGAAGACCTCTCCAGCCCCTTCCACCCCTCATCCTTCTCCCTGTTCAGACCCATCTTGACACAGCAAGTTCGTTTGAGTGGCCAGGCTTCCTATGGGTTTTTCTAAGGCCTGGGGAGACATCAGAGAGGTGAGCTGTGATGTCTTGAGAGTACCTGGAAGAGGAAAAGTAAGTCTGGGGACCCTACGGAAGACAAATTATCCAGAAAATAGAGGGAAGAAGAACGCATGTGTTTTGGGGGCAGGAGCTGAAGCAGCTTGGGAAGGGTATCTCAGGAGCCTGGTACAAGGGTAAGGGTCCCAGGGCCACTGGACTGGGGCTCTGCCTGGTTACTCCAGCCACCCCCAACTCAGCATTCCGACTCTGTGTCCAGCCATCTGTTCTGTGTATGTCAGTGGCTTGCACAGGGCCAAATGTCAGGCTGCAGACCAGCTCTCTGCTCCGCCAGGCAACATTCCTAGCTCTAGTCCTATTCCTGCCTGCCTGCCCCTGCCCCGAGGGTGACTGTGGCAACACTCTACAAGAAGCCTTGGCTGTGACCTGACCTTGTTCTCTCTCTCATCTTGGGTTTGGGGGTCCCAGAAGGGGCCACCAAGAAGCTGCGGAGTAACATCCGAAGGAGCACGGAGACAGGCATTGCAGTGGAGATGCGGAGTCGAGTCACCCGCCAGGGCAGCCGGGAGTCCACGGATGGGAGCACAAACAGCAACAGCTCCGACGGCACGTGCGTGCACCCTGGCCAGCTCTGTCCTCCTCCTTGATCTCACACAGCCCACAGGGGAGCAAGATCTGCTTATGGGTTTCCAGCCAAGATGCCTCTGCCACCCATGTCCCCTCCCCTAGACATTCGGTGTGTGGGCCCCAGGTCTGCCATTGCTTGCATCAGAATGTCTTAGAGCATTTAATTTCTTCAGGGAGGGACCCAGGCCTCCCTCCTCCTACTGCCTACATACTGCCCTGCTCCAGAGGAGAGGGAGAAGAGCAAAATGTGATCCTAAATTCCTTTTGAGTCTGAAATCATTGTCCTGGCTCAGATGAGTGGCATTTTCACAAGTAGTCTTGCTCGGAGTTAGGGAAACAGACTGGATTAAATCTGTGGCTTTCAAACTATTGTGTTGACTTATGGTGGGAAGAAAAATTACTATAGTGAGTCAAAATCAACATTAGAAAAAGAAAGAAAACTCAGGTATGTCCTATGTAGTAAGGACAAATGACCTTGTGAACTTTTACTTCAGTCTTTGATATATAGGAAACACATAGGTCTCTAGTGCATCATGATGTTAATTTTTTTTGTTACATGGTTGCAGTAAGAAAAATTTGAAAGTCTCTGGGTTAAATATTCTTCAATATCTTTCATAAATCTGTGAAACTGTAGTTTATTACTAAGATTCTTTGCTTCTGCTTCATTTCATCTCAGGATTCTGTGGCTCCATTACTGAATATTCATTGATCATGCTTTCCAGTTGATCCTCAGTTCCCATGAGTGATTGGCATAAAGTCCCACCTTGAACACAAAATCTATGGAAGTTCACATCTCTTTGATAAAGTAACATGATATTTGTAGATCTCCGCCTATACACTTTAAATCACCTCTAGATTACTTACAGTACTCAGTACAGTGGAAAGAGCTGTAAGACTTTATTGCTTGTGGAATAATGACAAGAAAAAACACAGATGCATCTGTTTTCCTTAATATTTTCAGATGGTTGAATCCATGGATTTAGAACCCATGGATACAGAGGCCCAGCTGTACCTTCTCCCATGAATGAAAGTAGCCACTAGCATTTCATACCCTTGCCCAGTATCTGTGGACATCTCATCCATAATTCTTACACTGGAATCAGCCCCAGAATTAAGTTCACAGTTGCAGTCAGCTGAGGCACATGAATATCACTATTATCTCTGCCTATGAATAAGGAAACCGAGGCACTGAAAAAGAGAGAGGAACCCTATGCAAGGTCATGGTTATTAAGTGGTGGTTTAGTCAGTACATACATTAAGGTCATTTGACTCTATAACCATTATTGACAATCTTCATATATACTCTAAAACTCTCCAAATTTTGTGAGTTGTAGATATGTATTTATCTGTCTCAGATCCCCCTGTCATAAGAATGGGACTCCCGGCTATTGCTGGTCATGATAAAAAAGCAGACGCCTTGACGCCCCTTCCCGGGGAGTGGAGGCTGAGCCTCGTGGGGTTAAGACGTAGGCTTTCTGCCAAGCAGACCCCTCCCTGCCTGTCATTGGCCCATGGCGGTTCACAGCCAAGATGGCTAATGGGATTTTTTCCTGGACATCTTTTTCTTTCCAGCTAGGAGAGCCCACTACTTTGCATTGTTGGGCCAAACCTCCCTCATCTAGCCACACCCAGAATATCCAGCCTCAAGGACATGGAAAAGCAATACTTGTCCCTTGATGACAGCAGCAGTAATAACAGTAACTTCCATTTGTTGTTTCCTGTTTTTCCAAAACATTTCCTGCATCATCTGCCCGATCTTCAGCACAACCCTATGAGTTGGCCCTTATCTCTTTTTGCAGGCAAAGCATTTCTTTTGTCTCCTAGAACCTCTGTTGTCTCATCTGTAAAACTGAGTAATAGTCCCTATCACACAGAAAAGTTGTAAGGATTAAAAGACATAATGTACATGGAACACTTGGTGCATAGTAGACACCTGGCCAGGTTTCAATCACTATCAGCTTTTCTTGTTGCCATTTTTCAGGCCCCCCACAGCCATGGGCCACCCACATCTCTTCCAATTGTCTCTACCCTATAATTGTGTTATTTTGGTTTCAGTTGCTGTTCTGGGTATCACCTTACATTATTAACTTGGATTTCAAATTTATGATCAAATCAAAGCTCAATTCTTGGGCTGCATCCAGGCATTACAGTTTCTGATCTGTCTCTGGTTCTGGCATCAATATCTGTTGAGAACGCAAGTGTCCAGCAAGCCTTGCCTTTTGACAGTCATCTCAGAATTCCTGGAGCTTAAGGATTAAATACCACCATTGTGTGATTTATAATAGTACCTTTAGGGACACACCAAAGTGCTTTTCTTCAGTATACAGAAAAAAGTTATTTGTCACCAGAGTAGCTTTATCACACTGCATAGAGGAGCAACTGAGGCACAGAAGGGAGTGCCCAGTGTCCCACATGCAGAGCCCCTGCATACTATGCTTCCACCCCAGGGCTGCCAGACACCCTTACATGCCCCTCTGCCTCCTCCTGCAGGTTCATCTTCCCTACCACCCGACTTGGAGCTGAAAGCCAATTCAGTGATTTCCTGGATGGGCTGGGACCAGCCCAGATTGTAGGGCGACAGACACTGGCAACACCCCCCATGGGTAAGTTTTCCTGAGGGCAGAATGATGGGATAATGGTGGCTAAAGCAGGAAGGGTAAGCTCCATGGGGGTCTCAGCATGACTTGGTGCAGGCAGCAGGAAAGAGCCCCTCCTTGAACTTTTGTGCCAGTGAGTTCACAGTGAGAGCACTCACCAACCCTTCCCTCCCTGGGGAGAAAATGGGTCCTTGCCTCTCTGTCCACTGCCATCAGCACCTGTCACAAGGCATCCCTGCCTCACCTTACTGCACGCTCACCCAACACTTGCTGTGTAAACACCTCCAGTTACAGTTTTTTTTTTTTTGTCTTTTTCGTTTTTATCGGTACCGGGGACCGAACTCACGACCGCCTGCTTGCAAGGCAGGTGCTTATGCCGCTGAGCTAAATCCCCAGGCCCACAGTCACAGTTTTGAGTAAAAGGCATCTACACCTTTTGGTAATATTCTCATCCCTCCTCCTTGCAGTTAGAAAAGACTTCTTGAAGCCTACACTTGGTCCTCTTAGCAGTCTGGCTCATTGCGTGAGCTCTCAGATCCCTTCCTTAGGTGTTGGCAGTATTGGCTTTGAGAGACTTCTCCCTGGGCTGGTTTCCCAGAGGTGCTTGCTCAATCTCTACTCACTTTGCCAACAGTCTGGTCTGGGAATCGTCTGATATGCATCTCCCCACTCAGCCCTCATCCAGACTACACTCACTCTTTGACCCTTGCAGCAGTGGAGGAAGGCAAGTGCAAGATTCTATCACAGAACTACTCTGTTTTCTTTGAAAGGGACCATGGCTGGACCCTTAGAGTAAGGGTCAGCCCTTATCTGGCTGTTACATTGGATTTGGCTAATTCCTAGCTTTGCTTTGAGGCTCAAAGGGGCCTGGAGAAGCTGTATTTCCCTGTCCTAGATCTAGATATGAATTGGGAAGCAGTGGGAGAAACCAGCTGCTTGGAAGCCAACCCACTTTTGCAGAACATGTGCATGTAGTGCCCCCTTGTGTCCAAAATTGGGAAAGGCAAGAATGCCATAATGGGACCCTCCCTCCCAAGACAAAGGTCAGAAATCCTCTCCCAGAACCTTCTCTTCTCATCTGTAAGATTGGGTAGTAGTCCCAAGCACAAAGAGGGGTTGTAAGGATTAAATGATATAATGTACATGGAACAGAAGTTCTGGGAGAAGCGAGTGAATTCCAGGATGTTTCCTGGGAGATAATAAATCCTAGTCCTCCCAATATGAATATTTGAACAATTGTATTATGGCTCAGAGAATCCATGGTGGGTGGCTGAACCCAAAGTCTGGCTCATTTTGCTTTCCTAGAACAGGCTTACAATTCTCCACTCCCTGAAAGTGATTACTACTTCATTCTATATTCTGCTAATCCATGATGAAGAAAGCTAAGAGTTCCCAGAAATCAAATAACAACAAACTCCACACACAGGCCTTGCCCACACTGGATGGTCCAGTGAACTTCCCCCTATCTATCAGGGACCTCCAGTCTCTTTTGGCAGTGGTTCAAGGAGGTCCCCACACCCACGTTTTGCCTCATGTCCTGGGCTGGTCCCTAACTTGTCATCTCTTTGCACTGATACTTTTTCAGTATTGGTCTGGCATATGGAGGGAAGTGGCTGAGGACAGCTGGAGGAGGGGAAGATGGCAAGCCAGATCCCACAGCCTTCCTGACCCAGGAAGCTCTGTCTCCAGTCCTTCCTGTTCTGCTCAGTAAAACAGAAGCCACTAGTCAGCCAGACTTAGGAGGGAGCTTGGCAGCTGTTTGTTGTGACCTAAGCATGCCCCTTGAAGGTCGTGCCCTGCCATACCCCCTGGACCTAGCAGAGTGTCTCTGGGTCACTCTCAAGAGCAGTTCTGAACCACGCAGTTAGCTGCATTCTCCTGATGCTGCAGCACCCTCTCGGCAGCTGGCTGGTCTGCCCCTTCCCGCCCTGCCTAGCACTTCTTCCTTGCAGGTGATGTGCACATTGCCATCATGGACCGGGCTGGCCAGCTGGAGGTGGAAGTGATTGAAGCTCGGGGCCTGACTCCCAAGCCAGGCTCCAAATCCCTTCCAGGTGAGCAGCTGGGAGAGGGACTTGGGAAATGGGGTCTTGGAAGGGAGGGTATCCTGCCGAGCAGTGGATCAAGCACATCCTCGATCCTCATTGGCTTAAGTCAGTATTCTAGATGGTAGAGTCACAGCTTGGCTGGAGGTCAGTGAACAAGGTGTGGGCAAGGGAGGCCAGAGGAGTCAAGGTTTGTTCTAGCTTCTTTTGCCTTCTATGCACTGGTCAGCTCATTTGACTCGCCTGGGGCAGGACATAGTTGTTGCTTGTAGACGTTCCCCATACTTTCCCTCACCCCTCAGCCACCTATGTCAAGGTTTACTTGCTGGAAAATGGAGCCTGCTTGGCAAAGAAGAAGACAAAGGTGACCAAGAAGACCTGTGACCCCCTGTACCAGCAGGCTCTGCTCTTTGAAGAGGGGCCCCAGGGCAAGGTGCTGCAGGTGAGTGTTACAGGGGGAGCTGGGCAGGGGAGCTGTCCAAAGACATCATCATTTCGAAGCTTTTTTAAATGAAATTTTTAAAAATTTCCTCACAAGTATGAATTCCCGTGTTAGATAAAACATGACCGCAGGTCTCCTTTTTGGTCTTCAAATCCTAGAGAAGTCTGCTTTTAGGCTGAATTAAATAATGAAAATGATGGCTACGGGTTGTAAAGGTACCAGTTGTGAGGAATGCTGGCATGTCAACTAAAATGGCAGACAGGAGGGAAGAGCAAGGGTTTCTAAGGGACTGTTGGGAGGGGATTTCCCAGCACAGTGGACGTCATGTGGGAATTTCAAAACTCTGGCCACGTGGGGATGGGTGGGAGGAGCAGGCCCACCCAGCCTGCCTCCTGGCCTCAGCTGCTGGCTAATTCAGAGACATGGGCACACTATTTGATCCATTTTAGGATGATACCTTGTATTTGTTGTTGGCCGTCTTCATCCCATCTTTCAGGAAATAAGACAAAGCACCTTCTATAGCAGTGGTGGTGAACCTTTGGCATTTTTTTTTTCATTTAGAAGCTTTTAATTTGCAATTCGTCCTCTGTCAAGCACTCTGCATAATTTGTGCTGCCTATTTCACAGCTCCTCGAGGTGCTCCTGCCCCTAGTTGACTTATAAGGGAGCCGAGGTTTAGTGAAACTGCTCCCCAGGTTGCACTTGCTGGCTGTCCCCTCCCCTCCTGGTGCTGATGTTCATTGTGCTTCAGCTGGGAGCCAGGCTTTTGTTAGCTACTTGGGACTGGAGCTTTCAACAAGTGACTCGTGGAGCAAAGCTGGACCTAAGTCCAGGTGACTCTCATCCCAACTACTTGAAAGTGACAAAACCCTATGGCACATTTTATGTCAAGCCTTTACAACCATCCTGTGAGGGAGGATTCATCACGTCCTTTCCCTAGTTGAAGAGCTTGAGCTTATGTGGGCAGACAGCACAGTGATGTCTGGCATATAGACTGCTGTTTATTGATTACTAATGCTGGTGGTGATGGAGGCGATTGGCATTGCTTGATGCACAGAAGTGGCAGGGAAGCGATGAGAGCCAGGCTGGCCTGGGATGCCTGATCTCTCATTTAGGCTGTTAGTCCTCTTCCTATTTGTAACAAAATACCTGAGATAATCAGCGTAAAAAGAGGAAAGGTTTATTTTGGTGCAGTTTAGTCCACGGTCAGTTGGTCCCGTTGCTTCTGGGCCTGTGGTGAGGCAGGACATATGGTAGAGCCAACAAGAGGGGAAGCTGCTCACCTCATGGCAGCTGGGAAGCAAAGAGGGGACCAGGCCCTATGGCCCTCTTTGAGGATGTGCCCCTACTGTCTTAAAACCTCCTGTCAGGCCTCATCTCTTAAAGATTCCCATCATCTCTCAAGAGCACCACACTGGGGACTAAACCTTTAACACATGAGCTGGAGGACATTTATCCAAACCATAACAAGTTGTGCCTGTGGGCTGAGGCAGTTCTGATTCGGATGTACAGCCCAAAGAACTGCAGAGCCCTGGGCTCTCAGGCATGGTTTAGGCAAGGCCCCGTGAGTCAGCAGCAGTGCTGGAGCCATGACCCAGACACAGGGCTCTTCATCTGCTGTTTGCTGGGACAGTGTGGATGGACCAAGATGCTGGGAAGCCTGGGGTCAGACAGACCTAGGTTCTAACCCCACAACTTAAAAGTTGCTGTGCTAGGCCGGGGATACAGCTCAGTGACACAGCGCCTGCGAGGTTGTGAGTTTGACCCCTCGTACCACAAAAAAAAAAAAAAAAAAGTTTATGTGTATGTTTGGATTAATAAGCCAGTTTTGTGGCTGGGGATTTAGCTCAGCAGCATAAGTGCCTACCTGGCAAGCACAGGTCATGAGTTCGATCCCCGGTAACAAAAGAAAAAAAAAAGCCACAGTTTTCTCTGAGCAGAAATAGTTGTATGCTATACCCTTATCCACAAGGCTTGTTAGAACAACTGAAATAATGCATGTCATGTGCACAGGACCAGTTCTGGCATGTCTTACATGCTCAGAAAGTTGTTGTCTAAAATTGGTCTGAGTTCTGGCTTTCTCTGTTCCATCTACGCCCTGCCAAAACTTGGAGGTTCCTGGGCCCACTACCCAGCCCTGGAGCTGAGGATGTGGCTCAGCTGCTCGCTCTTCCTCCCCTGCTGACAGGTGATCGTCTGGGGAGACTACGGCCGCATGGACCACAAGTGCTTTATGGGCATGGCCCAGATCATGCTGGATGAGCTGGACCTGAGCGCTGCGGTCACTGGCTGGTACAAACTCTTCCCCACCTCCTCTGTGGCAGACTCCACGCTCGGATCTCTCACCAGGCGCCTATCCCAGTCCTCCCTGGAGAGTGCCACCAGCCCCTCGTGCTCCTAAGGACTTCACTCAGGACGAGAGGCTGGGTGGTGGTGTGGGAAGGGAGCCTACTGGCCCCCACCTGCCCTCTGTACATAGTCTCCATGTTTCTCTGGACTCTTCACCCTGCTGCATGTCTGCTGGCTACTGGGCTTGTCCCAGCTGGCAGTGGAGACTGTAGTCTGTGTGTGTGTGCGTGTGTATGTGTGGTTTGTGTATGTGTCTATGTGTGACCACATTATATCTGTTCGTTTGTCTGGGTACAATCAGTCCTGGTGACCACATGTCTCTTTGTGTCACATTGAAAAGAAGTGTTGTGTGGACACAACTCACTCCAAGGAGCTTCCAGGGGTGAAAGTGGGAGATGGGGCCGTTGGTTGGTTGATCCTGCCTGGTCCCCTGCCTGGGGCAGAGCCCCACCTGTGCCTCCTCTTGGTGGTCTTGGCTTGATTTTCTGTCTCGTCTTTTGTATCACCCTTTGCCTCTCCCAGCGTTGCTGCTCTTTTTGAGGAATGTAGCATCCACTGCAGCTGGCCACAACTATGCCCCTCTGGGAGCTCCCTCACCCCATTCCAGCTGCGTTGGCAGCTCTTCCCCACTGAACACATCTTGCGGCATGTAGCAGTCATCCAGTGCCCTGGCCAGGGATCCAGGGGAGGCTGAGGATGCCCTGGGAGCAGAGGGCTTTGAAATGGCTTCATCTTTGGGCTAGACACACCCCTTCCTACAGGCAAGCGCAAGGATGTCTTCGTTCCCAGGGGTACTGGCCAGATACCCCAGCAGGAAGGGCCGGGTGCTCCCTTGGCCTCTGTTTATGACCACCTCTCTCCCTTCCAGCCTCCTGTCCTCTGACATGCGAAAAGAGCTCTCCTGGTGGGCCCAGGAGGTCCATGGAGATGTCACCTGGCAAAGCAGACAGCCATCCCTCTCTGGGCTCCTCCTGAGGGGTGCATGGCTTGGTAGAAGGTGCAGAGGGTAGGACTCTTTGCTGGAAAAAGGAGGACTGAGGCTGACTACTGAGAATCCTGCCTAACCTTGAGGAATTAGCTGCATGAAGCTGTTCATCTGGGGCTCTTATTTTCTGCTCATTTCCAGTCCAGGGTCCCTGTCTGGAGCTCAGACACACTTGGGCTTCAGCCTCCTGGCTCCACGGGCAGCCTGGCTCTGGCTTCTGGTCTGCCACAGTCACCAGCTCTGTATAAGCAATACTTTCCCCTTTCAGCTTCCTTGCCTTCTCATGTGCTCCCGCTGCCCTCTGGGAAATGGCCTGCTCTGGGCATGCCAACTGCCTCTGCTTTATTTCCTACCCTTGTCTGAGGCTTCTCTCAGCCACTCAGACACTGAGTTGACTGCTAGGCCCCATTGTGAGAATGGACCGTGGGAGGTCTTGCACTGGACTCTGGGAGCTATCTGGTGGGAGCCCTGAAATCCGGTTCAAAAACGCCACATCTGTCCTTCTCCCTCCTCAGCTCTAAGAGTGAAGGGTGAGAGGCTGCCCAGGGGATGGACAGAGTAGCCTGGGTTCAAGGCTGGTAGGAAGTAGGTAGCAGGAGGGGCCAGGGTATGGGGAAGGCTCTTTCTGCTTCTTCTATAGTCACTGGGCCCAGTGCTGATGTACCTCTTGCCTGGGCATGTGGGCTGGAGAGAGCTAATGAGGAAGAGTGGGAGGCCCTCAGGGCCGAGTGTTGAACTTTCATCCATACGCAAGCTGGAGGGGTGAAGGCTGTCTCAGTCCAGAGGGCCTTCTTGTCTGGCAAAGGTCCTCCCTGGGTAGAAGCCAAAGTCCTGTGACCTCACTCACAAGGAAATGAGGGGAGGAGCCAAGACCCATTTGTTTCACCCACCACAAAAGTGGGTAAAGGCAGGAGGGAAAATGTACAATTCTATCTCTGGGCCGAGCCTGGATACTTGCATTTTTAGAGAAGAGAGACACGGTATGCATGGAGGAGGGTGAGGAGGTGGCCAGCCAGTTTCTTCTTTGGGCAGAAGTGCTCTCCCCACTCCTGCTGGGAAATGTGTTTCTTGTGTTCCTAAAATTGGGGCAGAGGGCTCTGAACTCTTAAACCCTAGTGGGAGGAATACAGTACAGGGAGGAAACTCACTTGCAAATTGGTGTTTTTCCTCTCCTGTTGGTGATGTGTTTACCGCTAGGGCAGTTGCCTTCTGGATGGTCTGAAAATATACCTTCTGGAGTGGGGGGGAGTGTTAGTGATCCACAGATAGCATAGACTTGCTCATGTGGCACTGAGTCACCCTCAGGAAATGGGGCTGTCAGTACCCGTATGCCCTAAGGGTCCAGGGAGGCCCTGGGAGGAGATGGGAGCTGTCGGCAGGAAGGCTGTCCTGTGTAACCCTTGTGCCTGGGGTCAGCACAAGAGAAGTTTTAGGAAGGGGAAGGGCCCGATGTGCTGGAAACTCGGGCTGCCCTGCCTCTCTAGTCCCCAGCTGTGAAAAATGCCTGGGAGTTGGGCCACTTGGCTGTTACACCTCTTAATCAATGATAATTCCCTGCAAACGGACCGTGGGAAACTATTCTTTTTAACCCTTCACACCAAATAAGTTATGAGTGTCGATCCCACCCCCCTACCCCCCCATCCCCCTCCACGGGTGAGGTTGTGTGAGGCTGCCCTGTGTGTATGAGAGAGTACAGCTGGATTTAAGGATCTAATTCTCAGCATCCTGGATGCAGGGCTTGCTGGGAAGCCACTCTGAAACTAACCTGTCCTGGAAGAGGGAGATGTACAAGTTGACTCAGGCCTCCTCTGTGCTGAGAGAGGGCGGTGGGAAGGAAGGAACATGACCCTTCTGAGTTTCCCTACTGTGGGACTAAGTCAGATCCCCTAACCCCAGATGAGAGTGACAGTGGTGATAGCACAAGCCTTTGCCATGCCACTCCGCTGGGCAGGCAGGATCATTGGTGATGTAGCAGAGACAGAAGTGGCTCTACAGTGATGCTGGACTGTGGGCAGGGACAGTGATGGATGATTCAGAGCATCTGTCTTCACATTTCTGCTCAGCTCAGTCTGTCCTACTTTCTTCATAGACTCCTTTCCCACAGGGAAGTCTGCGATGGACCCTTAGTATGCGGCACCCTTCAGTAAATGAGTCAAGTCTTGGTTTGACAAGGGGATTTGAACCATCTTTGAAAGTACTCCCTACCTAGTTTCTCTGCCACCCATTTCTACTAGGAAAGGAGCACTTGCGAGGCTCTTGGGATCCTGCAGGTCCCCTGCAATACCAGCATTTCATGGGGCCAAGATAGGATAGAGGATAGGTCTAGGGAGAGGGCCCTGGATCACTCCTCACTCATGGAACCACTGCCAGTTGGAACACTGAGGTCAAGCCAGCTCTCCCAGGGGCTTGACTCCCACCAGGAAAATGTGACTGAGCTCTTTACTGCCAGCCTTGACAGCAAAAACCTCTATTTTTAAAGACAATAGAGCTTCAAGGGTACTTCTTTGGAAATGAAATGTAGCACAAGCCTAGACTGAATTACCAGGAGCTCTGACATGCATCCTGGGGCCCTACCCCAGGTCCTGCTGCCCAGAGGGTGCTGAGCTCCTCTTCCCTTGGGGCTCTAGAGCTCCTAATACCTCACATTCCCTATCTCCCTCGGCTCAGAAAGCAGCAGAACCTTAGTAAGGCTGCTCTTCTGTGTTTCTCTGATTGCTTCCAGCACTGTGCAAACTCTGGGCAAGAAACTGCTGCCTTTGCCTGATGTTGTAGAAGAGTTGCTCTCCACCTGGGTGGGGAAAGGTGGCACTTCATCCAGGGCCAGAAGGTTGTCTGCAGTGTTTCTGCAGTGGCTGCCAGGAGGTGGAATAGAGGCCTGCTTCCCTGCCTCCTCCCACTTTTCTCTTCCTGTCCTCACAGTTGTCTTCTCCAATGTCCTGACATATACAGAGGTTCTTTAAAATGCTGCTCCCTTTAGTAGACTGTCTTTCGCTGGATGATTAAGGAGGAGATGAAGATGTAGATCATCCCCTGCCTTCTGCCTCCAGTCTGCTTTTCATCCATATCCGAGGAGATTGGGACAAAGCAAGACAGTCCCGTTGGAAGAGCAGGGGAGCCCGTACAATCAGAAGCAGCCTGACAGTAGTGGGATTGGCCTGGTCTGGCTCGGAAAGGGTTACTTTGAAAGTGTGCCTGAGCATCTCAGAGCAATGTCAGTGATGCCAAAGAGAGCGACTTGGCCTCCTTGGGCACCAACTCTGCTGGTGGAGCTGCACAAATGTAGCTCAGATGTTGGCAAGCCCAAAGGTGGGACCTTGTTCTCTGACAAAGGGCTTAATCTTTCCATGTAGCAAAGCAACTTCCCCCATCCCCAACCCACACTTGGGCATCTGCAGGCCCGGTATGGCTGTGCCTGTACAGGAAGCCACATGTATGAAAGAAACTTTCACTCTCCCAGGGGCCTAGACTAGCTTGGGAAGGTGCTCTTTGAGAAGTGTGAGTGCTAATGCTCTGGAGAAACCTTCCAGGGCTGTGACTGGAAACCTGGCCACTAAGGGTAGGGCCTTGGACCTCCCAAGGATTCACACTGATTCCAGGAAGAGTCCCTTGGACTGGATTCCAGACTACCTGGATAACAGAAAACAGGCCTGGGCATTCCAGGGACAACTGAGCATCTTTCCCCTTAGCCAATGACCTGGACAGGGATGGCTGCTCTATACCATTTTGCCAGAAACTGTGATCTTGTACAAGACTACTCACTTATCTGGGCCTCAGCTTCTTCATTTGCAAAAATCTGAGCATTAGCTAGTTGCTCCGTGTTCCCTCCAGGTTTTAGAAGTCTGATCTGGAGCTTCTGAGAGTTGTGAGCTGGGTGCACCTGGCACATGGTTCCATAGGCTGGTTTCACCCAACCCCTGGTGCCTAAGCTAGGCCTAGGTCCTCATCTGATCTATGCCCAGATGCTGCCTCTAACAACTCTGGGAATCCTAACAGACTCTGCTTTCACCTTTTCATAGTTTTCTCTCCCTCCTTCACTCTTATGTCACCATGAGAAATAATTAAGGGTTGTCTGTAATGGACAATTTTCAAGGTGCTGATGTGATGTCACAACCTCAGTTGCATCTTAAGTAGGGTCTGTGTCCCCACCAGCAGATGAGGCTGGGTTGTTCCTCATTTCTACTTCTACATGACAGCAATGGGAAGAGTTGAAGATCTGAAAATTCTAAAGGAAATGCCCTCAGTTAGGAGGAGAGAGGGAACTGATTTCCCATCCAAGTATTTTGCTTTTTAACACCACTCTTCCCTGCAAAATATCTTTTACCACACATCATCTCAGAAAGCAGTGGCTGCTTCCTTAAGGAAAGCATGCCTGAGAGTTCTGTCAACTCCTTTAGTATGTAAACTCACAGAAGGCAGGAATCCCTTTTTTTAGAATTTCCAAATGCATCCTGCAAAAAGAGAGATAGCAGTTAGGGACTGACAAGCACACTGTTTAGATAAGAAGCAATTAGCCTTTTATATCTGTGCTCTGAATTTTCTATGTGCAGCATCTTTCCAAACTCTGGTCCTGGGTGGCAGGTGGACAGCTGGGAGGGACTGCCGGCTGTTTTATACAATGTTCTTGCCAATTCCCTTAAGAAGAATATTCTTCACATGGCTTCTGCATGTACAGTATTTGGGCAGCAAAAAACGATTAAAGTCCACTTGAAATTGGTCCTATGTGTTGCTTTTTGAAGACAGCCCTTAATTCTAGGACAGAGAGAACAGGTTTCCAGGTGACTGAAGGGAGCAGAGATACTTGCCTGAGAGGCAGTAGACAGCAGTACATCTCAGAAAAAAGCATAAAAGGTATGACCTGGCCTCTGACCCGTCGGTAGAGCTCTGTTGTCACAGCATCATTCGAGGACTTACACCAGGCTGGTCCAAACTGCTTCCCAGCTCTGCCTCCCAAGATCCTTGCTTACTGGCTCGCAAAGTCTTCTAGTCCCATGGGCTCTACAAGGGTTGCCCAATAGAGGACAAGGAAAACGGGGGAAGGCCTGCTCAGACAGGTGACTGGGTCAGTCGTGCTAACTTCAGCCACATCTCATATTAGCAATGAACAGCAATTGCGCTCTCATGCTGTGAGCTATAATAATCACTGACCCTCGAAGTGCCTCCTCGCCCTTCTTGACTCATGATAAAAATGCTTAGCAAACAGAATGCAATTCTCTTAATTTGAAAAAAGTCGTTTACCTCTGAACCTACAGCAAATATTAGGGCAAAACACATTCTGGTTGTTTCTTTCTTTTTCTTTTTTAAAGGACTCATGATGTAGTTCAGATTCACCTTCAATTTGCTGTAGCCCAGGCTGGCCTCCCACATCCTCAAGATTAGTACAAGGAGGCCCACAGTCACTGCTACCATTTTATGTAGTTTTGGAAATCCTGTACAATGCTATAAAAAAAGATATAAAGAGTAAAGTAACAGAGAAAACTTTTCTAGATAATTTGTTAAGTTTTAAAAAGTATAAACTATTAAAACTAGTAAAAACATTCAGCAAGATTGGATATAAGATGAATCAACCACATTTTTGTATAACAGGGAAACTGAAAACATCAACAGTAGCAATAAAAATCAATTATCTAGAGGTTGAGACTATATGACCTTTTGAAGAAAACTCTGAAACTCTAAAGTGTTAGTGATCTGAATAAATGGACATTTCTATTCTTAGACGAGACAATTTAATGTAAAGATGTAATTCTTTTTTTAAGATAGTAATTCTTGAAAAATCTATAAATTTAGTGTAATTTTACTTAAAATTTCAGTTGGTATTTTAAGAACTAATTTTATACTACAGTTTACATAAAGTAATCTAAATCGATGAACTTCTAAAGAAGATATTGACATACGTACATCTGAGAAAATATTAGAAGACAAAGGGAGCATTTTAAAACAGTGGGAGATTGTTTAAAGTATATGTTAGGGCCAGGTATAGTAGTTCACGCATGTAAGTCCAGCACTCAGGAGGCTGAGGCAGGATGACTACCATGAGTTTAAGGCCAGCCTGGACTACATAGTGAGACCCTGACTCAAACAAAACAAACAAACCATATATATATATATATATATATATATATATATATATATATATGTATGTATGTTACTGCTTCACTGATAAGAAAACAAAGTATCCCTACCTAAAACATGAACAAAGATGAGTACTATGTGGTTTAACTGACTCAACTGAAAAGCAAAGTATAAAGCTAATAAAAAGAGAAATACTTTTTGTGACCCAAGGCAAAGAAGTATAATATTAATATGAAAATTAGAGCAATAATGAGACATACCTATAATTGACTAGCAAAAATAACTCTGGATAATGCCAAATAATAGTGATGATACAGAAACCTCAGATTCTTGGGCAGGGGATTTAGCTCAGTGGCACAGCACCTGCCTGGCAAGCATGAGGTCCTGAGTTTTATTCCCAGTACAAAAAAAATCCTCAGATTCTACTGTTGAGAATGTAGACTAGTGCAGTTGTTTTGGACCACTATCTGGTTCAATCATATTATGTAGACCCTATGACCAGTAAATTTAAGTATAGATCTATTAAAGGGACTTGTCCAAAGATATTTATTGAAGTATGATTTGTGATGCTGGTGGTGAAGCAGGCTGAATAACAGCTCCCAAAGGTGTCCACATTCTAATCTCCAGACTTGTGAGTAGCTAATTTAGAGTAGCTAATAATAGAAAGGATTTTGCAGATATTATTAAATTAAGGGCTTTGAGATAGGGAGATTATCCTAAATTACCTGAAATAATTACACAGGTCCACTCTGATCTTGTGGGCCTTTAAAAGTGGAAAATCTTTTCTAGTTGTGGTCAGAGAGATGCTGTGGTAATGCGTTTGAAGATGGATGAATAAGGGCATAAGCCAAGGATGTAGAGAGCCTCTAAAAGACAGAAGAGGTGAGGAAATATTCTCCCCTGTTGCCTACATAAAGAACCCTTACGACTCATTCACAAATAGACACACATCTCATTTTAAAAGTGGGCAAAGGATTTGAACTGACTTTTCTCCAAAGGAGTATACAAATGGCCAATGAGCATATTAAAAAGGATTCATTAGCCATTAGGAAATCAAAAGCATAATGATACTACTTCACGTTCTCTAGGTGGCTATAATAATTTAAAAGAAGATACAACAAGTGGTGGCAGGAATGTAGAGCAATTGAAACCTGGAAATGTAAAATTAAGCAGCCACCATGGAAACTAGTTAGCCAGTTCCTCAAAAGCTTAAACATACAGTTACTACTAGATTTATCAGTTCTCTTACATATATACAAAAGATAGTTGAAAACATATATCCCCCCAAAAATTATACCACAGGAAGTGAAAAACAATCCAAATGTGTATCAACAGATAAATGGGTAAAATCTGTGGCACGTTCATAAAATGTAATACTATTTAACAACACAAAGGTAATCAGTACTAATAGATGCTACATCATGGATGGCCTCAAAAACATGCTCAAAGAAAGAAGTCAGTCGCACAAAAACATCACACGTGTATGATTTTATTTAGATGAGATGTCCATAAAAGGCAAACATATAGAAACCAAAGTAGACTAGTTAGGGCTGGGGTTGCATTGAGAGAATGTGTGACCATCAATTTTGCACTTCAACAAGAAAAACTATTCAGCCTGAAGAAAAATGCTACCAAGTGGAGGTTAAGATCTATACAAACAGTGGAGAGCATCAGAACTGTGGTATGTGATTGTGAAATACTTCTTGGTTAATTTCTTATAACTTTAAATCAAAATTAATCATTTACAATTATGACACAAAACTTATGTAAGGAGGATTTTAAAAACTTACATAGAAACCTTAAAGTATATGAAAATTATTGCACAGAGAATAGAATGGGGGAAATGGAAATATATTATGTAAGCTTTTTACACTATACCTGATGTGTTATCATTTAGAAAGTAGACTATGATTAAAGATGCTTAAGTAAACATTAAAGACATAGTAAAAAATAAAACTTAGATCAATTTACAGTGGAGATAAGATACAATGGTAAGAATACACAATCCAAAAGATGGTAGAAAAAGAGAAAAAAAGAATAACAGAACAAACTGAAAACAAGGAAAAAAACCACATAATCAAAAGATGCATAAAAATAATTTGCTTGTCAGGGGTTTAGCTCAGTGGCGTAAGCACCTGCCTGGCAAGTGCAAGGTTGTGAGTTCTATCCCCATTTCCAAAAATAACAATTTGATTAAATTCCATATTCATGTTTGATTAAAAGACTCAGGAATAAAAGAGAAGTTCTTTAGCCTTAAAAAGTACATATGTGAAAAACCTAACGTTAACATAGACAGTGGTGGAAACTGGACACTTTCTCCCCACGATCAGGAACAGGGAGAAAATGTCTGCTCTTCTAGTCAACCTTTTATCAACAGTCCTGGTCAATTAAGCAGGACAAAATAAATAAAATATCTGTAGAATGGAAGATATGAAGCTGCTGTTATTAACAGAAGGTGTGATTTTACATACAGAAAACTCTAAGGGGAAAGAAAAAAAAAAAACTAGAACTAATAAATTTTCCAAAGAGCCAGAATATGAAATCAACATGCAAACATCAATTTACTTTTATAAACTTTAAAAACAATTTTAGAAAATGAAGTTTAAAAAAATACTATTTACAACTGCATGTAAAAACATGAAAAATTTAGGGATAAATCTGACAAAACATAAGAACTATACAGTGAAAAATATAAAACACTGTTGAGAGAAACTAAAGAATATCTAAATATATGGAGAGTTTCACCTTTTCCATGGATTGAAAGACAAAAATACTGGATACTGAAACCACACAATTATTTGAACAACGAATTTTTAACGTATAAAGTGAACTCTAGCACAGTAGTAGCTAAGAAGGCATCAGAAGAACCCTAAAGACTGTCCTAGCTGAGAGAGAACACCCAAAGAAGCAACAACGGGAAGACAGCCTCTCCTCAAAGCTGGATGGAAGCCTTGTTAGAAATGTGCCATATGATGGGAAAAGCATGCTTGGTTGCCCAGGCTACCACTGATCTGGGGTCTTGCAGCGAGTAGGAAACATACTGTGGGTCCAGGCAGGCCAGGCTGCTAGAAAGAGGCTTGAAAGAAGTCATGAAAGTGCATGAAAGAGTCGGCTAAGCAGGAAGCTACTTGCAGGCAGAATGGTGCCAGACCTAGCAGGTATGGGATCCATGTCTGGGGCCCCCTGAAAGCAACCTTGTAGGAAACCGGTCGGGAGAGCTGGTGGTTGGCATACAGTGGGAATTAGGGCCTCGGAACCTGCCCACCATTAGGGCAGTGCAAGGGCTTAAGTGCAGAGTCTTCACTGGGACGGCTGTCCCGACTTGCGCCTGGGGCATAATGTGATGGGGACGCGCATCTGGGTCAGAACGCTAATTCACTTCCCTATGCACGTGTCTGCAGAACTGTAGGAAAAGAAAACTAAAATATGAGCACAATAGTACCAGGAAGAGATGGTCCTTCCTAATACGTGCAGTGGCTTTCCAGCGCCATCTACTGGCATAGCTCAACGCTGTTCTCACAGGACAAACCCAAGGGGCTAAGCCACCACAAAGCAGGAAATGAAGGGTAGATTGATTAGGTTTTAGGTGCAGTGGGGAAAGTCTATAGCACATTAATATAACTAAATACTACTCGACACAGTTGGAAATACATGACAGCACAAAAGAATCACAAAAACAGTACACTGAAAGAAATCAAAGGGTAAAATCCATTAACTGAAATTCTTGAACATACAGTCTTAGTCTATAGGGCCAAAATATCAATTGGTTTTGCTTGTAGATCTGGACTCAGTGGAGGTACTAACTATAAAGCATTACAAAGGAATCTGGGGAGTGAGGGAAATATTCTGCCTCTGGATTGTGGGGATGGCTACATAGGTGTGTAGACTGTACATTAAAATGAGTGCATTTTACTTTGTCCAAAGTATAACTTAATAGTAGCTATCTTTTAAAAATCAAGGTAAGTCTTAGAAACTATCACAGTCAAGAGGAGCCTAAGGAGACAACTAAACGGAGTACAGTATTTTCGATGGGATTCTGGAATACAAGGGCACTGCATCAAAACTAGAGCAATCAAGTATAGATTTTAGCTAACATAAGGTTCAGTTAATCAAGATTGCATCACTAATTACAACAAATACAGAGCAATCATAACTAATGTAAGATTTTAGTAACAGGGCAAGCTAGGGGGGCCATAGGAACTTTCTACAATCTTTGTAATTTTCCTGTAAATAAAAACTGTTCTAAAGTTAAAAACATCTAGTTTTAAAATACAGTGTGCAAATCAAATGTAGGGAACCACTGAAATTGATCACATGTGCAGGGCTGAGGCATGGCTGTCCCAAGAACAAACAGTACCCAGCACAAGCCACGTGAAGAAGCTGCTTCAGCCCAGAAAAAACACTAAGCCCCAAAACAATCCAAGCAATGGGTTGCTAAGAAAGGGTACCACGTGACACTGTGTTGCTAAATGTATAAATAAATGCCCTTAGAGTGAGGGGGCAGTTCCTTTCCTCCCACTCAGAGAGTAAGGGCTCCAGCTAACCACAGCTTTTGTCTCTTACTTTCTCATCCTCTCATGGTCCTTCACCCCAAGAACCTCAAGATGCCTATTTTTGTGTAGGAGACCACAATCCCTTCCTAGACACCTCTACCTTGTAAATTCCAGGGCAGGGGTTATTTGAAAGGGCCACAGTTTTCATGGAAGTATTGGTAGCCCTCCCATTTCTCCAGAAAATAGATTCTCAAAGTGGGAAAGCTCTTGAGGTAAGAAAAGATAATTATTCAAGATTATTTTGAGGATACAGATGAGGTGGTACATGTGAAACGAGGTTACTTAGGAAACTCAACCCACGGTTTCTCTCAGGGTTGGATTCTGAATTCTCCTCTAGCTTAGCCCTTACTGGTCCTGCATCTTCCATGGTTTGGCCAGAGGCCCAGCTGGTGAGAGGGGCAATTATAAAGGATGGTGCCCTTTAAGACTGGCTGACCAACCAAGCAGGTTGAGATAAAAGTAAGTAAAGAACTGCATTCACAGCGTCCCCTGGTGAAAGCTGCCATGTACTTCCAGGCTTCTCTCTCTGCAAGGTTATGGAGTTACTGTGTGTCCTGCGGTACTCCTGTGTGTATCAGCATATCTGTAATTTAAGCATTAAGATCAATAAGGATAATCAAAATTCACAGTCCATCTGTGATTTTCCCTAAGCTTTTCTCCCCCATGGAGTTCATTAAATAAAATCAGTAAGTCCACATTGAAGTAAGAAATGAAGTAAGAAATGAAAATGTAAGGATGCACTAAATTCAGGCAGCAAAAAGACCAAGACATGATCCCAATAGCAAGAAAGAAGAAGGTGCCCTTCCAGGTTGTATGGCCACGGATCATCATCCAGGTTCACTAGGTCACCAGGATGCTGGTTATCACACCCCTGGCAGCTCTGGGATCGACCAGGTGCCCCACTCACAGGGAACTGAGGACCCACGATGAAGTGTGGGAATCACCAGGCCTGGTAAGAGATGGTGGGGGCACATGTCCTAGCATGTGTCTGGGTCCAGGGTCCATGGGACGTGGGGAGTACGTAAGGCGGGGAGGAGGGGCAGGGATAAAAGGAGGGACGTGGGAAACATGGAGGACAATCATAAGAGGTGGCAAGCTGAAGGCAGAGGGAGAAGAAGAAGGCAGGTGGTGGGAGGAGGAGGGCAGAGCAAGATGGAGGAGACCCAGGCGGGAAATGGGGTGGGGGAGACTGGTGAAGGAGGGAGGCAGTCTCGAAAAGAGGTGGTAAGAGGACCAGGTTGGTCTACGTGGTCACTGAGTTAAAGGTGCTGCAGTTTACAACAACTTATTATATTTTTTAATAAAGAACTATAAGAAAGGCATTTGAAACTACCCATCAGAAAGAAGTGATAAATACTTAAGGAAATGAAAATGCTAATTACCCTGATGTAAACAGTGCACATTCTATACACATATCAAATTATCACACTGTATCATAAATAGTTATTTTGTGTCAATTAAAAATAAAAATAATTAGGAACAGAAAATAAAACACCAATACTGAGCTCCTCACCTAACCATGTTGGGATCTAAGGGACCTCGGAAGGAAGTTTGGAAGCACAGGCAGGGGTCAAGAAGAGTTTAGAGCTCCCTCTACTCAGTGCATTAGACACCCCCATCCATCACTGTCTCACTACGGTCTCTTACAAGTTCACAGGGCAGGGATGTTCTCACTGATTAAAGAGAGCAGTTATTTCAGGGGAAGCATAGGGTGCCACGGAAGATGCCCGTAATGACCTGGTGGTTGAAGAAAGAGAAAGAGACTTCTCAGATACACTCTGTAAGAATGGAACTTAGCTGAGCCACAGAGACGGCACTGTCATAGTAGCATATCCAAGGAAAAGAAGTAACACTGGAGAGCACCTGGTGGCAAGAACGTGCAACAGATTAACAGCTTAAAAATCCAGTGTGAGGCTTCATCGACCACGCGAAGGCACTCTGCATGCGTGGTCAGAGTATTCCTGAAGACATCTGCACCTTCTGCCTGGGAAAAGATGGTCAACATTTTGAAAGGAGTGCTAGTAGAATGGTTAGTAATTTTGATATTTTCTGAGTTTTAAATGTACATATTGAATCTTGATTTACATATGTACCTTCCCTAAAATCGTACTTGTTTTGTTCAAAGATCTGAAGTCAAATCTTTCAACTTTTTCTGCTTCAGTTTTCTTATGTAACTTGAGGGACAGATTTTGTCGCTATTTATTTGAGGTGCCAAATTTCAGTGTCTCTCTCTGTCTCTCTTTTGGTAGTGGGATCAAACTTATGATCTTGGGCTTGCCAGGCAGGCACTTATGCTGCTGAGCTAAACCTGCCCAGTATGTCTTGAATTAATGTAATTGTCATTACATCCCACATTTTTTCCCCCAGTACTGGGAATTCAAGCTGTCAGAGTGATGGACTATGTCTCCAGCCTTTTTTGAGGCAGGAACTTGCTGGGCTCAAACTAGGAATCTCTTCCCTCAGCCTCCCAAACAGCATAGATTATACACATATGCTGTCATACATGGCTATGTCCAATGATTTTTTTTGATTAATGGTAGTGTATTTGTTAGATTAATCCTTAAACAGGGCAGTATTCTCAAGCCATCATAGAATGATTAGAATTTTAACACCTGCAAAATTCAGGAATTTGCAGAAATCTTTATCATTACCAAAAGGTCTTTAGAGAAAGATAAAAGGCTAACAGAAGAATTTCAAGTTTGAAGTTGCCTAGGAAACTTAGTGAGATTTTGTCTCAAAATTATAAAGTGGGGGTCCAGGAAATGGAGCCTGTGTCTCAGTGGTCCTAGGTTCAATCTCCAGTACAGTGCCTATCAAGAGACATGGAGACAGACGTTGAACTCCTTTCCATAACTTTCAAAGGAAAAACTCAAAACTATAATGGATAAAGTTGAGTTCCTGAAATCAGTCTAATATGTCAGGCTTAGTCTTCACCCAGTTTGAAATCTGAACTGTTCAATCAATGTTGCTTAGTCTTCACTTGATTGTTAGCCACACCAGTAATTCTCTCATTTAGATTCCTGCCCCGTGGACACACTTATTGTTTGAAAATACTATTACCTACCTTTCTGTGCCCCTAATGTGGTCCCTTTCATGGCTGACAGTACTGTTCACTGTGATGGCAAGGCTGGAGAAGGAAGATGGCCAAGCCTAGGATACCTCCAACATCTAGAGCAGTATTTTCCAACAGAAATAGAAGTCAAGTGTGTATGTAGTCTTAAATTTTCTGCTGGCCACATTAAAAGGTAAAATAAAACATGAAATGGTTTAGCTCAAGATACACACATATACTAGTCTTCAAAAAAATGTTATACAGCTTGCTTTTGCAGCACATAATATAGAGAATAACCATATTTCAAGTGTTCTATAATGAAATGTGACCAGCAGGCCAATTTGTAGATAGTGCAGATTTAGACTTTGCCAGGAAATGCCACCAAAAAAACATCCAGTATGAGTGGAGTTTTAGGTAAGAGATGAATCTAGAGATCTGAGCAGTAGTCTTTTCTGGAAGGACTCTGTAAGTCACCTTAAAAAGCATAGTATTTATTCTGTGAAAGCTTTTAAGAAAAGGGAAGACACTGTGAGAACCATGTCTTAGAAATACCACTCAGACTCCACTATGCGAATATACTGCAGAAGGATGCAAGGAGTTTAGAAGCTACTGCACTAAATCAAGAAAGAGAAGTCACAGGGCGGCCTCAGCTGGGCCAGAGCACAGGGATGGAGGCAGAATGGGCAGGACTTACAGACTCACTGCACTTACCCCTGAGGTACAGGATGAAGGCGAGTTTCTGGTTTAGCAAACAGGGTGAAGCAGGAAGGTCTTAAAAGAGCAGGCTTGTTTGAGGAGTAAAGATACGTGAAGTTAGCAGGTTCTGGTTTGACCTTGTAAGAATCAAGTGCACCGCAGGACATCAGTTGGCTTTTGAGTTGTCTTCCAGAACCACAGGAGAGAGATCTGAGCTGTGGATGCCAACAGGAGAGGCATCTACAGACATACAATCTCCAGGAAGTACAGAGAGTGAAAAGAGACAGCATCAATGACCAAGAAACACCATTTATGGCCCATGATGGACTAAAAGAAAGGAGACAGAAAGTGAGTAGATGTCAGGGTTGGAGGAAATCCAGGAGCTTGGAATGCGATCAAACCCAAAGGAAGACAGTATTTTAACAAAGGCTAGAGGGGATGGGATACTGCTCGATGGCAGAGCATGTGTTTGGCATTTTTCAAAGCTCTAGGTCATATCTCCAGCATGAAGAAAATAAAAGAGGGAAGGAAGGAAGGAGAGAGAAAGAGGGAGAGAGAGACAGAGTGAGAGAGAGACAATAACAAGTATTACCAGGATGAAGAAAAACTGAAATTCTTATGCATTGTTGGGAATGTAAAGAGGAACAGCCACTGTGGGAAATGGTACAGTGATTCCTCAAAATACTGAAAAGGGGAAAACCACAGGGTCCAGCAATTCGCTTTCTAGGTATATACTCAAAAGAATTGAAAGTGGGGTCTTGAAGAGATATTTGTATATCTGAGTGCATAGAATTACAGTAATGTGGATGTAATCCTCAGGTCCACTGACAGATGAATGGACAAGTAAAACATGGTATATCCATAAAATGGAATTTTATTCAGCCCAAAAAAGAAGGAACTTCTAACGTGCTACATCATGGGTGAAATGAGAATATTTGGTTATGTGAAATAAGCCCATCACTAAGGGAAAATGTCCTCACTGGATTTGGCCACCCCGAGGAATGCAGGGACATGCAGCCTCCATCACGGGCCTCACAGCAGCTCCTTTAGTTCTGGTCGCAGATGGCCCTGAAGTCTATGGGGCCCATCTCTATCCACTACAGACCACACTCTAATTAGCACAGCTCTCCTGGGACAGCCCTGTGCTGGGAGTCAGTACACTTGCTGAAGACTTTGAAGAAACCTCTGTGCCCCGCCCCCCTTATTTCTACTCCTCTCCCTGGCATTCTTTGTCCTCCCTTTTCTTCCACCCATTCATTTCCCTTCAGACTTGCTTTCTCTCCTCTAGCCTCCTTCCTTAGACCCTACTTCAGCCTCTTTCTTTAGCTAGCTCTTCTTTGCACATTTATCCTGAAGGGGCCTTATCTAGTGACTCCTACAATCTTTTGTGAGAAGCAGCACCCAGTGACCCAGTGACATGATAACAGACAACAAATCAGGGTCAGGAGGCTTTTATCCTGAAAGGGAACTTTTGTCCTTTGCTAAGCAAAGGGTTACCTTTCCCGCAATGAAAACCTTGTTAGACTGGGACATTCTCTAAAATAGACCACATACTAACCCACAGAACATATTTAAATAAATGCAAAAGAGTTGAAATTATCCCATGCATGTTATTAGATCATAGTGCCATGAAATTAGAAGTTAATGACAGAAGAAACTGGAAAAACCCCACAAACACATGGAAATTGAATAATGCACTCTTGAGCAATCAGTGGGTCACAGGGGAAATTAAAGAAGAAATTAAACAATACCTACAAGCAAATAAAAATAAAAATACAACTTACCGGAATTTGTGGGATGCAATGAAAGCAGTCAGTTCCCACGTCAGGAAAACAGAATGAATACAAATAAACAACCTGATGCTGTACCTCAAACATCTAGAAAAAGAGCAAGTCAAGTCCAAAGCCAAAAGAAGAGAGGAAATTATAAAAATCAGAGCAGAAATTAATGCAATAGAGACCAAGAAAACAATCCAAAGAATCAATGAATCAAAGAGTTGGTTCAAGAATAAATAAAATTGATAAGCCCCTAGCCAATCTAATTAAAAAAGAAAAGAAAAAGCTCAAATTCATGCAATAAGGAACGAAAAAGGTGAAATCACTACAGACTCTGTGGAAATACAGAAGATCATCAACACCTATTTCAAAAACCTCTACTCCTATAGGTTCGATAACACAGAAAAAATGGACAGATTCCTAGAAACATATGAAGTACCAAAGCTGGGTCAAGAAGGTATAAAACTGCTGAATAATCCAATTTCTATTAATGAAATTGAAAACGTAATTAAGTCCTTACCTACAAAGAAGAGCCTAGGCCCAGACGGATTCACTGTGGAATTTTACAAGAAATACAAAGAAGACTTAGTGCCGGCACTCCTCAAACTCTTCAATGAAATTGAAAGGGAAACAATTCTTCCTAAGTCATTTCTGGAAGCAAATATAACTCTAGTACCAAAACCTGAGAAAGAGCCAAATAAAAAAGAGAACTACAGGCCAATCTCCCTAAGGAACACAGATGCAAAAGTCCTCAATAAAATATTGGCAAACAGGATGTAATAAATCATCTAGAAGATTATACACCATGACCAAGTGGGATTCATCCCAGGCATGCAAGGATGGTTCAACATACTTAAATCAATAAATGCAATCTACCATATCAATAAAGCCAAAAGTAAGAATCACATGATCATTTCTATAGATGCAGAAAAAGCTTTTGATAAGGTCCAACCTCATTCATGATAAGAACCTTACAGAAAATTGGAATAGATGGTCTTTTCCTCAATATGATAAAGACCATCTATGACAAACCAACAGCCAGCATTATATTAAATGGCCAAAAACTGAAGGCCTTTACTTTAAAATCAGGCACAAGACAAGGATGTCCCTTATCACCACTCTTATTCAATATAGCACTGGAAATACTAGCCAGAGCAATTAGACAAGAGAGAGAAATAAAAGGGGTAAAAATAGGAAAAGAGGAAGTTAAATTATCATTATTTGCAGGTGACATGTTACTCTACATAGAAGATCCCCAAAACTCCATTGAAAGACTCCTAGATATAATAAATAAATTCAGCAATGTAGATGGATACAAAATCAATGCTCAAAAATCAATAGCATTTCTATATACTAACAACAAAATTACTGAGAGAGAAATAAGAGAAACCACAGCCTTCACACTAGCATCCAAAAATATGAAATACTTAGGAATTAATCTCACAAAAGAAGTAAAAGATCTATACAGGGAAAATTATAATACCCTGAAAAAGAAGTTGAAGATAATCTCAGAAAATGGAAAGACATCCCTTGTTCATGGATAGGAAGAATAAATATTGTGAAAATGGCCATTCTCCCAAAACTGTTATATAGATTCAATGCAATCCCAATGAAAATACCATCAACATACCTCATAGACCTAGAGAAATCACTCCTAAAATTCATCTGGAACCAGAGGAGACCTAGAATAGCAAACGCAATTCTAGGCAGCAAAGGCAAGGCAGGAGGCATCACAATCCCTGACTTAAAATTATACTACAAAGCTACTGTAATAAAGTCAACATGGTACTGGAATAAAAACAAATATGAAGGTCAATGGAATAAACTAGAAGATACAACCACAACTACCAACACATTCAACCAACTTATCTTTGATAAAGGGGCCAAACATGTTCACTGGAAAAACTACAGTCTCTTTAATAAATGGTGCTGGAAAAACTGGCTCTCCATATGCTGAAAATTAAAACTATAGACCCATGCCTATCACCATATACTAAAATAAAATTTAAATGGATCAAAGATCTGAATTTTAAAACCAAAACACTAAATCTGTTGGAAGACCAAGTAGGTAAACATTTTGAAGACATTGAGGTAGATAGATAATTCATGAACAGGAATCATGGGAACTACTTCCCAGAATCAGTAACTGGGATCAAGTCTTATTAAAAAGTTTCTGCATGTTAAAAGAAATTTCCAGCATAGTGAAAAGAAAACCCACAAACTGGGAAAAAATAGTGAACTGTCCCTCAGACAAAGATCTTCTGTCTAAAATATATAAAGAATTTAAAAAACTCAGACCCTCGAAATTCAAAGACCCAATCCAAAAATGGGCATCTGAGATGAATACACAGTTCGCAGATGAAGAAATACAAATGGCAAATAAATACATGAAAAAATGTTCATCATAATTAGTCATTAGAGAAATGCAAATTAAAACAACACTGAGATTCCATCTCACTCCAGAAAGAATGGCCAGGATCAAGAAAACTACCAACAACAAATGCTGGAGAGGTTGTGGGGAAAAAGGAACTCTCCTGCACTGTTGGTGGGAGTATAGACTGGTGCAACCACTGTGGAGGTCAGTCTGGAGATTCCTCAAAAAGCTGGGATTGGAGGTCCCATTCGAGCCAGCTATTCCACTTCTGGGCATATTCCCAGAACTGAAAATATCATACCACAGTGATATATGTGCACCCATGTTTATAACAGCACAATTTGTAATGGCCAGATCTTAGAAACAACCTAAGTGCCCATCAACTGAGGAATGGATAAAAAAGTTGTGGTATTTTTATACAATGGAGTACGACTCAGCTATAAAGAATGATCACGTTGTGATATTTACTAATAAAGGGCTCAACTTGAGACCATACTCATAAGTGAAATAAATCAAACTCACATGTATAAATACCGTATAGTCTCCCTAGTATAAGAAATAGGAAAGAGTACATAAGAGTTTATGGTAATCATGATTCCCCATTACATTGTTTTGAAACCTTATAATGATTGCATTAGTTAGTTGTAATGGGTTTGTCCTTGTTTGATTTTATTGTGATGGTACGAACAGCTAATTTGAGGGAAACAGGTCATTATAATAGCCAGTACTGATATAGTATCATCTTACTCTGAAGTCCTACCGTGCTTTTGCTCCTCTGTTTCCATTGGCTCTATCATGTTGTACCTTATTGGATTGTATTACCTGTGAAAGTATAAACAAATTTTCTATGGAAAATGAGATAATATAGTAGCCATTGTTTGTTTTCTGTTATTTGGTTCTTAATGCCCTATAATACTCTCATTCTCTTGAATGTTTTTATACTATTTTGTTATGTTTGATACTACTGTATATGAAGTTATACTCAACTATTTCAAAGAAAGAGGCATTGTGGTAGTTACTGTTAATTACGGGTTGTCTTCTAGTGAAATTCTGTGTTGCTTATATTGTTCTACTCTGATCTGCTTTGTTATATCCTGTTTTGTCTTAATCTCTTTAAAATAAAATAAGAAAACCTTGTTAGTTACTGGTCATAGATAATTCATTTGTTGAGTCTTCACGTCTTTCTGAAATGAAATATAAAGCAAAATAGCTACTGCTAGCAGATTCTCATTGAGTCAACCTTGTTTGTGGTAGTCACTTTCAGTATGACATGTAATTTCATTTAGGGTATTCACAGAATTTTTTTACATAGATGGTAATTAGATACAGTTTTAATTTAGGAGACAAGAACATTTTTACAATTGACCCGGTGTTAGGGATTGTGGATTGCCTTATGTTACAGATAAGTATTTTCAATTTACCACACTGATTTAATAATTTGACTATTTTTCTCTATTCATCATGCTAACAAGGTTTCTCTCCTGCAGGAATGAACTCATGATGAAAACTGTGATCTGACTAAAATCTTACCACACAGCAGATGTATTACTGAAAAAAAAAGTTAAAGATGTGGACTTCGAAGGCCTTACCATACACATCACATGAATAGGGATGTTTTCACATACAGATTCTCACTCAACAAATATCCACCAAGTGGCTATGCTGTGCCAGATGCTGAGTTAGGAGCTGAAGACACAGATGCGCAAAACACACACAGCTGCCTTCTCAGGGAGCTCAGTCTGGAAGGGCAGCTGTGTGGCCCAGGAGGAGTTCTTGCCACACTCTGTATGAGGAGGGGTTTTCTCCTGTGTGGAAGTGGGCAGATGTGAAGACTCTAGCTTACTTCTCAGGCTCTTCACCCTGTGTGGACTCTTGTGAACATGAAGGGTTTTGCTGTAAGTGAAGCCCTTACCTTAAATGTCATTTAATGTGTTCTTATTTTTTGTGAATTCATCAATAAACTCAAAGATCTGTGCTCTTGCTGAAGCGCTTACCACATACATCACTTGCTAGATTTTTTCAGTTTTACTGCCTAAAGATTGTGAAGATCAGAGCTCTGATGGAAGTTCTTACCACTCTTCTCACAGCAACTGGCTTCTTTCTTGTACGGACTTTCTGATAAGCATGAAGATTTGTGTTTCAAGAATTCCATTTCAAACAGCTCCCCTCATGTGGACTCTCCAGTGACCTTGAGACCTGGGTTCTGACTAAGACCCATCACTACACTTAGCACCTGGTCGAGTTGCTTCCTAGTGTGGACTCCCTGATAAATGTGGAGACTGGAACTCTGATGGGGAAGCTGTGGCCACGTTCCTCACACTTAACTGGTTCCTCTACTGCCTCTCTGCTGCAGATTTGCTCAGGATAGTGAAGATCTGTATTCCGGCTGAAGCTCTTACCACACTCAGGACAGTCACAGAATTTATTTCCTGTGTGGAAAGGAGGAAGCTCTGAGAATGAGAAAATGTTTCCACAGATGAAAAATATGACAGTCAGATTAAAAATCTCAATGGAGGTGCAGGCAACATACTATCAGACTAGAGAATATGAAAACCATGTTAGGCAATTTAAAAGATCTACTAGAAGATTTCAGAGGAAAGGATTCAGAGGAGAAAGAAGATTTAAAAAGTAAAATAATGAGAAAAACATTGAATCATAAAGAATAGACTGATATACATACATACATATATGTATATATATACATATATATCATATATGTATCATCCAGAAGGAGAGAATAAACAGAAAAAGAAACAAGAAGAGAAGGGCCCAACACTCTAAGAGGTACTTGCTTCCTTCTTTCCTTTCCTGTTTTCCTATCTTTCTTCCTTTTTTACATAGTCATTACATAGTCATTCATGCTTTGTAGCTGCCTGGAGACTTCTGTAATTTTAGTGATTTTTTTTTTTATTTTTAAACAGAGCCTCACTGTGTAATTCAGGCTGGTCTCAAACTCACTATGTAGCCCATGCCAGCCTCAAACTCTCAGCAATTCTCCTGCATCAGCTGGAGAATCCAAGCGCTGAGACATGCAAAAGCACACACAGCTGAGATTTTGTTTATCCATTCATCTGTTGAATATAGGCTGCTTCCAAGAATTCACTATTATGAATTGTGCTGCTATAAACAGGGGTATGCATGTGTTACTGTTGTCTTTAATGCTTTTGTGAAGATACGTAGAAGGAGATTATTTGGGTCAAGTGAAACCCTTAATTTTAGGGGTTTTTGTTTATTTGGTTTTTGTCTTTTTGAGACAGAATTTCACTATGTGGTTCAGGCCGGTGTTGAGCTCACTCTGTAGCCTAACCTCGCAGCAATCTTCCAGCCTCAGCCTCCCAAGTGCTGGGATTACAGGCATGCGCCACTACACCCGGCTTAGTTTTAGTTTTTTGAGGAATCGCCACACATTACACAGCTCTTTCCCCAACAGCTCTGCTAGCATTTGTTATTGGTTGATTTCTTGATGATAGTCGTTCTTTATGGAGTGAGATGGAATCTCAGTGTTGTTTAAATTTGCATATCTTGAATAACGAGTGATTTTGAGCATTTTTTCATATATTCGTTTGCTGTTTCTACTTCTTCATCTGAGAAGTGTCTATTCATTTCAGATGTCCATTTTTGGGGGCAAAGGGGCCAAGGGTTAGATAAGGGTGACCATCACTATGCAAGGGGGTGAAGAGAGGTTGGATCACTCTAGATCTATTTTGGGAACTGAGCTGACAGATCTGCTGATGGGTTGATCTGGAGGTGAGAGAGAATGAAGTTAGGGATGACTTAAGGCTTTTGGTCTCAGGAACTAGAAGAATGGAGTTTCTACTTTACTGCGAGGAAGAGACAACTGAAGGAAGAACAGAGGGGAGGCGAGAGGGCGATCAAGAGCTCATGTGAATTTTGTATCCATCATGCAGGCAGCAAATTATATGATTGGGAGAGAGTGGGAGTACGGAGAATAGGAATTCTCATGTGAAGATATAAACTGATTCAAGCTTCTCAGGGACAAGTTGACCGTAAGTCCGTAAATCTCTGGTCTACTAAATCCTCTTCAGAAATTTCCTACAGAAATAGTGGAGCAAGTACTCAAAAACTACAAAAATATTTATTTCAGTATTGTTTATGATAGAGAACACTTGATAACTTCAATATCTATCAATAAAATGCCAGTTTTAAAAATGTCAGAATATCAATGCAATGAGTTATGACTAAAAAGACTGAGTGACTCTAAATATTTTAACCTGTAAAGATATTCAACATATACCATTAACTAAGACTCAATTTTGTAAATTGAGGACTCATGTTGCAGGACTCAATTTTGTAAATAAAACAAATACATAAATAAAAAATATGCATGTGTGACGGACTTCCCATGAAGTAAGCACCGCCATGCTGTTGGGAAAGAGCTCCAGCCAGAAGAGAAACCAGGCCTCCCATCAAGTAAGCATTGCCATGTTGATAGAGCAGAGCCCCAGCTGGAACAAAAACTGTCCTCCAGTGAGCCGGCTGGTACACGGGCTGAAAAATAGTAGAGCACCCCACACACCCAAGACTGATTTGGAAGACTCAGGGGGAGGCGACATAACTCAGGGGAGGGGAGTACCTCCATGCCTGTATTGCCTGGTCGACTCTGCAGGCCTGGGGCTGGTGGTCTGGGCTCCTACCTGGAGGATGGCAGTGTGCACTGTGTCAGCTGTGGGGGATTTCCTCCTGTTTTGTTTTTGAAATCCAATGCTTCATTCCATTTTACTGTTTTGTTTTATTCCTGTGTCTGGTAACCTGAGCAACGGTTTTGATGATAACAATGTGCAGTATTGTTCTGATTTTTTATTTTATTTACTTTTTGGGACTGGAGATCAAATTCATGACCTTGCGCTTATTAGGCAGGTGCTTGTGCTGCTGAGCTGAATTCCCAGCCCCGTTTTACTTTATTCAATATTATGCTTTGATTGTTTTTTATTCTGTTTTGTTTTATTTGATTCTGCTATATCTGATGGTATGGACAACTGCTGTACAAACAGCAAGATACAAAATGATAACCACTGTTGATTTCCTATTGTCCTGTTTTGAATTTCGGTACCACTTTCACTTTGTGTTTTGATTGGCTTTATTCTGTTTTACTGGGTCTTGCTCTCTTTAAAATAAAATAAAATAAAAATGTGTGTGATATTTTATTCCTAAATTTATATAAACAGAAAGTAGAAAGATGTTTTGCCTAGTATGTAATATAATTTAATTTTTTTTAGTTAAAAATAATTAAAAGGAAGGGACATTGGGAGTAACTACTTAATGGGTATGAAGGGTTTTTTTTCAGAGTGTTGAAATGTTTTAAACTTGCAAGAGGTAGTAGCTGCATGACACTGGCTATACTGTGTCACTGAATTATACACTTTAAATTGGTTCATTTTCCGTGATACAAATGTTACCACCCCAAAAATGAAGAAATGCAAATGGAGAAGCTGAAACAGATTTTTACATTTTTCTTTCTGAAACAGGGATTTGGAAATTGATATTTGTAGTTTGTTTGCTTGCTTGTTTTTGAGATGGGGTCTTCCATGTTTTACAGACTGGTCATGATCTTGTCATGACCTGTGGCTTGTGGTTGAAGAAATCTTCCTGCCTATGCCTCCCAAATTGCTGAGATTACACTTAAAATAACTTACTGTTTTTTTTTTTCTAGTAGTAGTGGAGATAAAACCCAGTTCCCTGTCACTTAACATAACTGTTTTTTTTCTAGTAGTAGTGGAGATAAAACCCAGTTCCCCTGTTCCCACTGATTTACACCCCCGCTAAAACTCACCTCTGAATCTCAAGCTCTTGTTTAGTCACTCTAAAAGCCTACAGCTTTTAACAACCAAAGAAACCTCCTTTTCACACTTAGAGATTAAAAAAAAAAACAAAGAAACCAAAATTTTTCAGAGTAGTTTACCCAATGAAATCAAGTTGCTATAATCTCCAACTTTACCTCCTGTACAGGGTCCTTTGTGCACAATGTAGTGGCCCCACTCTTCTTTGGTGAAATTCATGGCAACCTGTGACAGGTCCCTAAAACACCCATGAACAGGAATTCCTCTTCACTGAGCAAACATCTACGTGAATGTAGATGGTACAAAGGGCAAACCCAGCAACAGTGAGAAAGGTGAATAGCACAAAGGACTTCAGAGTTTTGCCTCAAATCATAAAAACAATTTAAAGAACACTAAAAATGTAAAACATATGTGAAGCACTCATAAAAATCTGTAATTCCAGCTCTTTGAGAGGCTGAGGCAGGAGAATCATAAGTTCAAGGCCAGCCTGGTCAAGTTAATGAGACCTCATTGGGCCAGGTGTAGTGACACATGCCTGTAATCCTAGCACTCAGGAGACTGAGGCAGGAAGATGGCCACAAACTTGAGGCCAACCCGGACTACATAACGAGTTCAAGGCCAATCTCCTGAGATGCATAGCAAGACCCTTTCTCAAAAACCAAAAACAACTGGGACCAGGCATTTAGTTCAGTGACACAAGCGCCTGCCTGGCAAGTGCAAGGTCATAAGTTCGATCCCTGATATCAAAAAAAAAAAAAAAAGAAAAATTAAAAACAAAACAAAACAAACAAAAGCAAGCAAATAAAGGTCTAAGGATGTAGCATTTTAAAACATCACCTTAAACTAAGGTGAATTCTTCACCCTATAAATCTGTTTCCAAGATAGAAGCCAGAAATTTGTTTTCTAATGTCTGTTGCAGTTTAGACCAGCCAATCAAATGCATTTGTACAAAGCTTTAATCTGGAATCTGGCATCTGGGAATGATAAGCACAGAAGCAGGGACATCCCTTTCTGAGGAAACATCTGTGGAATGTTTCTGATGCCCTAGGTTATGGTACAGACTATAGTGTCTAGCTTAGGAAGAATGCATTCTCTACTGGGACAGTCTTCCACTGTGATTTGACTGTTACTCCAAACTGTGTAGGTGTCAGAACCGTTTTGTTAGCCTTTAAGGAGAATCTTTGAGCTACCAGATGTCCTTCAATAAATTCCTCCCTTTTCTAAAGGAGAAAAATTAGTGGAATCAGAGTTTTGAAGCATTGTATTTCCAAGATGGGGTTGACCTCATTGCCAGAATGCTCCTGCGAATACATCTTTGCAGTTTCCAGAGGTCTTATATTTCTTCTACAGTATCTTAGTACAAGGTGCTAGGAGGTCAGAAAACCATATTGTCACAGTAAGATTCTTCATCAAAATTTTGAGTAAGTTCTTCAAGGACCCACTCCCAGATTCTGATCCTTCTCAGAAATAGGGTCAGTGATTCCAATCCTAAAATTAGCAAAGTAAGCCTTCAGGAAATCACCAGTATGAGTCCAGTTTTCAATGAGATAAAAAATGTCTGCAGCTTATTAACATTCATGGATACCTTCATTTCCAAAGTAGAGTATGTTGCAATTCAGGCCTTGTCCTGCTGAGATTACTCACTAATCCACCAAAAAGCTACTGCTGGCTTGGTGGGATAGATCAGCATGATTCGGGACTCTGTCTCCACAGGTTGTTTACTAGTAAAACCAGAGATAATCCTGGAAGTGGATTCTTTGTTTTTCTTTTTCATTTTTTTTCCTTTTTCTCTTTTTCCCTCATTATTTTTTATATAAGTGTGAACATGGTTCTTAGCATTTTTTTTTTCTTTGAGACAAGATCTCACTATGTAGTTCAGGCTGGCCTTGAACTCACTTTGTAACTCAGGCTGATCTCAAACTCACAACCATCCTCCTGCCTCAGCCTCCTGACTGCTGGAATTACAGGTATGCACTACCATGCCTGGCAGTTCCCAGCCTTTTTCTGAGTGTGGTTCTGTTCTGTTCTTCCTCTTATTTCTTCCATTTCTTTTTTCTGTTAGTCTTTTGCACCAGTTTCCCATAACTGGCCTGATCCCACTTTGTCCTCCAACCTTACTTCTAATCTTCTTCCACTTCTCTATTTTCTCTTTAATTCATTTTAAATTTTAATCCTCCAAGGACAAAATTGACACATTAAGAACTTACTTATTGGGGCTGGGGATTTAGCTCAGCGGCATAAGCGCCTGCCTTGTGAGCAGGCAGTCGTGAGTTTGATCCCTGGTACCGATAAAAATGAAAAAGACAAAAAAAAAAAAAAAAAAGAACTTACTTATTGCATATAATTTTCTAGTTTGTTTTACATTTTGTTATATAATCATAAATCTAGTTCACACAGTTAATATATCTGATAATGAAGCAAGCACCAGGTCACATGGTAAAAAGTGGTAAATTAAGGGTTGGCTCAGTTTGTAGTTTTATAGGCTGTATTTGATGCTACTGATACTATTATAGCCAAAATTGACATAACAGTTGTTGGTGCTGGTATTCCATGACTAAGGGTCACAGCAAATACTGTGGCACAGTGCGAAAGAACCAGGGACTAGGCCAAACAAGCAACAACTTCTCATCTCCAACAAACTAAAGATCTTACAATCTTCCAACAGACTCAAAACCCAAAAACCAGTTATACCTGGAAGACACCTCAGAGAAGTAGTCATTATTTAGGGATCCTAAATACTAGCAATCAAGAAACCCACCATATGTAACTTATAAGCATCATCCCAGGAATTAAACTAAAAAAAGAGAGAAAAGAAAATGAGAAGGTATTTAAGCAAAATGCAGCCCCAGACATCCAGTTCATCAAAGGCAAATCCAGGGAACAATGAGGTGGGACAATCCAAAAGCCACCCACCAGACATCTCTGAAGTGGTAACAACAAAGCAATTGAATGGAAAAAAGATGAAATCAGAAAACTACAGAGATTACCAATACACACCATGCTTAGTGACATTAGAGCAGATTCAGACAAAAAAATTAGACGAGATTACGAAAATTATGGAAGCTCAGCATAGGGAAGAAATGAAATCCATAAAGTACATTCAAGCAGATATCTAGGAAAGTAAAAATGCCATTGAAAGTATTCAAAGCAGATTTGACCAATTTTGAGGATACGATCTCAGATACTGAAGACAGCCTTGCAGTTTGTGAACAGGAAAAGAAAGATTTCTTAAAAATAGCAAAGGACCATGAGAAATCAATCCAGCAGATGCCAGATGAGACAAACAAGAAGAACTTAAGATTTATTGGAGTCAATGAATAAGCAGGACATACCACAAATGACATTAAAAAATTGTTTACAGACATGATGGCAGAAAACTTTCCTGGTAGAGAAAAAGAATTTGACATACAGATAAAGAAGGCATACAGATACAGAACTTGAATTAGCCATAATTCAGGCTTTGCACTTGTTTGGACTCTGAAACTGGGGATGGGGGATACAGGTGGTCCTGAGCTTAGTTAATTAAATTCCAAATTTATTAATTTGGCTGCTTGTTGTTCACAAACCCACCTCAGTTCAACCTCCAAAGACTTGTACACAAACTAAACAAGGTGACTTACTCATCATTTTGCACTGGAATTGCTTCCAGATACTTCTGTCTGATGGATTACAGTTGTGGAAGTACTTGGCTATAAGACACTTTGGTGATTCCCTTATGGATACACCCCTTAGGGATGTGAAACCAAACCTACCTAAAAGGGTCTGCATCCCTGGTCCTATGTTTAGAAGACAGGCAAAACTAGTGATGTATCTAAATATACATGCAAACCTATGACTCCTAACTAGAGTAGGCAATGTAGTCAAAATCACATTTGCTTAAAGATGAAAATTATAATTTTGAATTGTTTCTTTGGCCTTGTCTCCTCCAGACTTAAAGTTGTACGTCTATTCAAGATGAAAATACCTGGTGTATATTGCAGCCTTTAGATAGATCCTCTGTAGAGCATCTGTGACTGCCAGTCAACAACTATGATCCCCTTCAGCCTGAAGCCAGATCAGTCATCATCCATTTCTCCCTCAAGGAAATTTGGGACACTTCTTCAGAGTGGGGAACGGTATAGTGCTGTGTTAAATAGAAATAGTATAGGCAGTCAGATAAGGCTATGCCTTCAAGAGATCCAGTGCAGAGGACCAGATATCTGTGACCTTGGAGAGATAGATAGGTCTCATGACAACAGAAAAAACAAATGCAACCACACCCTAAGTGTAAACATCAGAAATTGATATTCTAAATAGATATGGAAGCCAGGAGTTACCATTCCCAAAACCTATAGAAAGAGTCACTACTTTTTAAA